GTATACATCTGTACCAATTCTTTTAATCTCGACTGGCCGAGCATAATAAAACGAGTAACTTATGTGATGAACAGCGTTCCAAATAGTACTACAAAAATAGCTCCATCCTCTGTTGTATTCTCAACTCCAGTGAGACTCAGTGAGTTCGATAAAGATGGCGTAATTTCGTCGGGAAAACATTCCTGAGTTCTTACGGGATAGAGCTAGGGTCACAAACCTTCTTTTCAAGAAGATAAAGCTTTGTCAAGAAGCTGCGGACGCCAAGGTCCGTGCAAATGGTCCGAGAATTTCTCCTGAGATTCTCGAGCCCGGGGACGAAGTATTTTTAAAGCGAGAAATGAGTACAACTGCCAAGACCCATAAACTCTCGTGGTTGGGCCCCTATATCGTTAATCGTTCGAATAATTACGTTGTCCAGCTTGTCGACAAGCACGGCAATGTTGACTGGTTCCACAGATCCAGTGTTTTAAAACGAGTAGAGCGCCCACCCGCCCTTGGCAGTGTCCCGTTTTTCCCTTGTTTACGAGTTCCGTTACCGAAAACCCTTCCACAGCCGGAAAAAGTACAAAAACCGCTGATGGATGAGCCCCTGGCGCTCAGACTGAATCTCCGGTGCTCGAGGCTCCGCAATCTTCTGCTCCGGAGTTAAATTGCCCTGAGGGGACGTTTGACTCATCGGGCGAGACATGTGATAAGGAAAACCCAGTTCAGATCAAACTCAAGGGCCACAGGTGGCGCCCTCAGTTCCAACAAAACCAAAAAGTGCTCCACCACCTAGAAAACGAAACCGACCCATAGATTTTCTAGTACCAGACTCAGGTCTGAGACCAAAAAACGCGCGCGTCGAACCTGTTCGGCAAAATGTCACAAGATCGCAGGTTCGTCGCGCGGAAAATGATCGAAAGTTGGCGGAGGAACTCCAGCGCGGTGAACTCCGCCGGTCTTCTAGAAAGTGCGCTATTCGTTTTTCTCAGAAAAACCCCTTTTCTGGAACATAATGTACACCCTATCAAGGGGGTGCGTTGTGTACCAAAATCTCTAGTTCAGATAGTTTATTTGCAAGAATTGTCAATAAATTACTCTGTACAAGTCACGTGATAGCTCGTACATTATCTAATACTCTATATTTTAGACGTAGAAATGGAACATCAAAGTATTGACCTCGGCGTCGAACTCGACAGTGCGGCCGAGTTCGGCTCCGGGGGCGACAGCTTACTTGACGAGACCGTTACGCCGGACTCAACCGATCCTGGGCCCGTTGAGCCCTTTTCGGAGGATTCCGGGCACGCCCAGCCTCCAACTACTGAGTCAGAGTCGGCTCCAACCAATGAGCAAGCAACGATGGTGTCGGCGTCGTCGTCACCCGTTCGGGAGACATCAGCGCCGTCACCGGGCTCAGAAATGCCTGTACTTACTCCTCTGTCCCCGGAAAGACCGACTGTGGCGCCTGCGGACTCTACACCAGACGTCTTTATTGTACGCACCGTGTCCTCGCCACCAGATCGGCTAATGTGGGACAACGCCGATGGCGAGTCCGATGAACTCAGAGTGACCATCGACGAGCCCGTCAGAACCGAGGTTCGAAACGAATTCCTTGCTCAGGCAAGGAACGAAGGAAAAAGGCTCCTTCTAAATGGCCGCTTGATCTCCACGACTGAGACTCACGATCGAATCGAGAGCCTCATTTTTGGAATGATGGCCAAGCTGGCCAGCAAAGGCGATGATCTCCACAAAAAGGCCTTTCGCAATTCCAGCGAACTGGCGGAGATTCTCAATACGGCCTCGATGCTGTTTCATAGCAGCTCAAAATATAACGACGCGGCGTCAAAATTAGTCAAAGAGAAATCCGCGAAGTTCCAGCGTCGCTCTGGTAATTTCAAGACTGGCAAAACCGCGCCCGCGCCGAAATCGGACCGGGCGGCGGCGTTGCCAACTAAACGCGGCGCTCGGAGCTCTTCCGCCGAAAAACCGGCTTTCAAGAGGCCAAAACCCATGTCTCAGCCTCCAAAATTTATTCCCCAATCGATGAAGGGGGAGCCTGAGAAAAAGCGCCTGAGGGGCGTAAACCCTCCTGGATGGACGACGCGCCGGACCGGGATACACCGTCAACGTCGGCGTTTCCGGCTCCGACGCCCTTGACCAAAAGTCCTCCTCGACAATGACGTCGACATCATCGGCGCCGATCCCGGCTTCGTCCTGGAATGGAAGCGCTGGGACCTTCCTCCCCGGCGATGATAAGCTCCCATACCGGGCAGCCCCACTTTTCCCCGTCGGTTCGAAGGGCTGGACTCCTACCGAGCGTTTGCTGGTAGAATCCGGGCCCCTTCGGGCACTTCCGGCGTCGCAAGGGATCGTCGAAGTCATCGACATGGCCGTTCAGGTCCACCCGGCCGACCTTGATTCAGAAGTTTCCCGGCGCGAGCTCTGGGAGGCTTACAACAGGGAGCGAGAGCGCAAGCAGCTCCAAACTCGCCATGACCACACTCGACTCGAGGCTGACCGTCGACGTGAATTCAACCGTGGTCGACCTCGACGTGGTGGACTCAACATGCGCGGCCGATACTAATGGACCGCGGTGCAGTTGTCATCTTCCTGCTCAGTTTCAAATTCACCTCCGCTTCACGACAACTTGCACAAAACTTCACTGCCCTGCTATTTTAGGAAGACGGAATCGTCAAGGGGGTTAATAGTTCTCCTAGATGTTACGTAATGACGATTCCCTCTTAATTGCTTAGTCAGTGTCGAGCCACGTCTGACCAACCAGTGGTTGGCCCGGGCGTGACTCGGCACAAAATTTTCCGAATTGCACTCAGCTCGGCGCTGCCACTCCACTCGACGAACAGGCACGGGCCGAGCAGCCCAATTTACAAAAATACTGTTTTATCCTCTGCCTCCCCGACTGGAATAATAGAGACAGAGAAACGATTTCTGAGAGTTACAGTGTGTTTATTGTATATTGCAGGACTGTCGCGTTTGGTCGATTCAGAGGGCATACTTAGTTAGATGATAGTTCCTAGTTAGCAGCTTTGAGAACTATTACATTATATATTTCTTGCTTAGATCTATGCAACAAACATATATAATTGAGTTTTCTCGTTGAAGGAGAAACATATTGCTGGGTATAAAATACACACCTTTCCCCTACAGATTTGCCACCATTGTTGGCAAAACAACAAGCCAATTCAAACAACTAGCACTTCTTTGCGAGCAAGTAACTCGAGAAGAAACAATTAATTCGAGAGATGCCACTTTGTCAATAATCACAGATTTTTCCCTGTGATAAGTCTACCGGCACAAATTATTATTGTGCGTTAAATTCAATCGAAATAGAGACTAAAAGCCGGAATGGTTAACTCGTAAAAATATTTCTCGAATGTGTTTTGAAAATAAATTCAAAATAGAATCGAAGAAATAGTTATCAATTTCAGAGAAGCCGTTTCCTTACCCAGTGTTTTTCAGCAAACATAGGTTTTTTTGTGTTTGCTTCTTGTGTAAGCATGTTCTCACTTCGTATAATCGCTTGTTACCCCCTTACTTAACTATTTACAACAAAGAAAGTCTCTTTCTTCTTCTCCCAACATTCAGGAATCCGGATAACGAAATAGGGTAAACCAGGGGAACATAAATATCTGGTTTATGTATCTAAGGGGAGGAACCCGCCGGGGCCAACCAAGCCTAACATGAATTTGTGGGAGTTTGCGGTAGATGTTTTAGTTTTTTACCGGAGCTAAATTGCTCACTTAGCAATTCTTTAAACCAACAGTAAATACTGTTCCATATAATTTTTAGACTGTCTATTTGACGAAGTTCTAGGGAAAAAGGCTATTGTAAGCCTGGGCTAGCCAACCTGTCAAAAAACCTGAATGTTTGGAACATTTTTTTTTTGCTTTCGATTTTTTCGAAAGAAAAAATGTCGATTTTTCGATCTTAGGAAGGTACCAAACGGCTGACAAACTAGGTTTGATAACCTGTGTGAAAACCTGAGTCAGGGTTTGAAAAAGCTAAAGAAAAAGCCGCATAGCGGGTTCAATTTTGTAAAATCTGCTGTAGCATATGCGGCTTTTTCTTTAGCAGTTTCAAACCCTGACTCAGGTTTTCACACAGGTTATCGAACCTAGTTTGCCAGCCTTTTGGTACCTTCCTAAGATTGAAAAATCGACATTTTTTCTTTCAAAAATCGAATGCACGAAAAAATGCTACAAAAATTCAGGGCAACAAAGTTTGAATATTTGCACCGCCAGCGAATTCCATCCCTGATGACAGTCCGACAGCGAATGTCAAAGGGATTGCGATTTCTATTATGAATAGTTTGACCATTTTTCAACGTGAGTGAATGGAATAAGCGATTTTCTCCAAAACAATGATTGACCTAGTTATCATTTTTTCAAATTACGAAACGAGAAAACGTATCGCCAAAGTCTATTATGAGGTGGCGCTTGCTGTTTGACCCCGGCGACTCTAAAAGGCCGATAAGAAAATGGAGCTCATTAAAAGCGGCCCGGCGCTTTTTTGTTTCTCCCTAAATGCAACGGTAAATAACCTGGGGTTCAGAAAGAGTCGGAACTCTCAGACACGTGAGTTTTGTTTTTCGCCTAAATTTGGCCGGAAGATATTTGGTAATTGTTAGGGGGAGGTACCTAATTCTTTCTGAGATACTTTCCGGTTCAATGTTTGGGGAAATACTTTCTCTCAGAAAATAATTACTTGTCTCTATTTTTTTCTGACAATAATGAGAAAGCATGAGTGAGGGTCCATATAAGCTATTTTGCAGCCTCCCACATATTCCAAGTCCCGAGATATAACCCCCTGAAAACGGCCAAATCGACGACTTCACCCTTAATATAAACTCGAATTTGGCACCTAGACAGAAGCAGCTCGTATAACAAAGTACTAACTACCAAGTACACGAACAGCAAATTGCTACCACGTTTTCCTCGACGCGTCTTTCCAAAGTACGGAATCCATACACACCATAATACATCAATAAACCACTCACTAACCTGGTACTCTTTGTTATTTTCGGGCAGGCAAATTTCAGCTTCGTTGAATGCTTCGATCGCTTCCAGATATCGCTGCTCATCTGCCAGATAAATTGCTTGTCGCAGTTCATTTTCAAATTCTTCTGCATTCCATCGTTGCCGGCGTCTTTCTTCTTTCAGCCGCTAAAGAATTACTGTTTCAATGTCAAGGCTCGATAATTGCCCAGCAACTGGTCTACTTTCGTTTAACTTCGTTCCACGAACAAGTTAATACGTCCCTACTAAACCGGTAAAATTTTAAATGACCGCATTTATTTGGGTCAAATTCTTTGCTAACATGTTCATTAATGGCTATTTACTGTAACACAAGCAAATATTCATTATGATGTTCCAACGCGATTAACCACAAACTATGTATGGGCTGAAAATATTCAGTAAGACAATTATTAATTACAGACTGTATTCGTTGTGTTACAGATGTGGGTCTATTAAGAGCCATTGTAAGTTGACTCTCTTATCTTTGTTAGACGTGATCTGGTCGATTTCCTAACATACTTATGTCACGTTATTTTTGCTATCATCTTATAGGAGATCATCAAAGGAGCCTAATAAGGACTGAAATATTCAAAATAAGAGGAAGCAAATCACTACGACAACTACTTTCCTCTCGACAGTAGTTTCCTTACTGTAACTATCTGCAGAGCTAACGGTGTAAGCGGCAGACTGTAAGAAGCCTCAAGAATCTAAATTATGTTTAGATACCTGAGGCTTGTTAAAGTCTGCAGCTTACACTATTAGCTTTGCAGGTAGTTACAGTAAGGAAAATTGTTGTCTAAATATTTTGCTTCCAATCATTTTGCGTCTATTTAGTTCATTTCAGTCATCTGAGCACAACTCAACGTTGTTGTCAGACAACTCAAAATTCGATTCTAAAATCCGGAAGAGGTAATTAACAACCCTAAATAAAGTTTTCAAAACATCGTATCGCTGTCATCCCATTTTAAAAACAGTTCATTTCAAGTGGGTGGCAGCACTGAAAATATAGAAGGTGGAAGTAGCCCTAGAAAATCGAGAAGCCGCTAGAAAACTTAAAACTGTTTTCAAATACAACACTTTTATTCTTTGAATATTGCTAGAGCGACTTTTAGGGAAGTTGTGTCAACAACTAAGCGCTCAAGAAAGCCGCTAATGGCCAACTTGGAGCACGAGAAAAACTCGAAAATAGGGTAAAATTGACTGTGTCTGCCGGACAGCCAGAAGCTGTGAAGGCATTTTTTTAGTTTAAAAATGAGCTAGAATTACTTTCTAAGATGATTTCTCAAGAGAAGGCTAGATTTGTTAACATAACAAGCGGAGGGTTTGGTTGATAAGCTACGGCCACTGTCAAGTGGCTTCTGAATTTTCTAACGGAGTTACTTTTGAAGTCTTGGAATTTTAGAGCTTTAGAATTTCGCAAAATGTCGTTCGTGAAATGAAAGACTGTATAAACCGATAACTTAAACTTTTTTATAAAGGTGGAACACGACCGCAATTGACCGGAGATTGATATTATCTTGACAAAATATTTAAATGATCCAATGTTTCTTATTCTAAGTCAAATTTAAACCCTTCTGTAATTTACCTTGATGCAGACATCTCTATTCTTCTGGACAGTAACATTTCCTGGATCCGCGACGAGGGAGGTCTTATAAAGCTTAATTGCTTGGAAGTAGTTGCGGTAGCCCTTCTCGCAATTGCCCAGTCTCGAGTAGAGTTTCGCGAACATCTGACGCGAGCAACCGAACTGCTTCGCCAGTTTGAGCGCAATCTGGCATTGTCTGAAGGTGAAATTATGCGGCTTGGGGAATCTCGATTGAGCCTTTCTTACGCTTTCGCAGCGTTGAAGTCGTTAAGTTCAACATAAACGGCAGCTTTGTTGGCGAGAAAGAGAACATCGGTCGGATCAAGGTCCGAGGCGGCTTCGTAGCGTTCCAGCGCAACTTGGAACTCTCTGTTTTTGTATGCTGTATTCGCGGGTAAATCTCATTTTTCGAACATACAAGAATTTATGCTTTAGAAATTATCATGAACCCGCTTGCCTTGGTTGCCTTTTTCTTTCTCAAGCCTAGCAGCGTCAATTTGCTCCTGCGGGATCGTGATGACTCGCTCTTGAGGAATGACAATGTCGAGTGGTGGAATGTCCTCTAGTTGAATTTCAGGTGCTTTCCGCGGAGAAACAGGCGCCTGCATGAGCGATTTGACGCGTTCATCGTTGAAAATCTTTAATGCAGCAATTAGTGAGAATTTCTTGTTCAAAAATGAAGAAGCTAAATGATCTTTCTCTTCAAAAATAACCTGTTTGAAGAACAAAATTCTTGTTTTTCACGAAAACATTAGTAAAGAAAAAATACTGTGTCAACTAAAAAAGCGGACAATTAGTTTTATCAATACAAAACATTTAAATTGTGTATCGGGCTGTTAAAAAAGAAGAAATTTCTGAAAATTTCGAAATTTTCCGTAATTTTTTTTCGTTGAAATCAAGGAAGACTAAGCTTAATTTTCCTCACCTCTGGGTCTTCTTCCGCGATCATTCCCTTCAGCGCATTATCATCAAGGCCAAACTTGTTCATTTTCTTGAGAATCTCCTTGTAGTACTGGCTATCCACTTTATTTCCCGGCTTTGCTCTTCTATTCGCCACCGCTATATCCTTTGGAAGCTCCCAGATTCGATTGATTTGATGGAGCATCGCTAGGTCTCCTGGATTCAGAGACGAAAATTTGCGGAAAGCTTCTTTTGCTTCTTGCTTGTTTTTGGCGAGATATTCGGCCAAGCCAAGAACGTACCAAGCGTATGCATTTGAAGGCTGAAAATGATGTTTTCAGAGATAAAAAGAAAATGGCATCTTTTGGCCATTATTTACCGGTAATCGAAGGTAACGTTACAGCTTATTATCTATTCAATCTATGCAGTCACCTTTGTTGCAAACTACTGCAAATTCAAGAGCAAGTTTACCTCATATTCAGCGATCTCAGTTGCCTTCTCGCGGGCAAAGTCGATAACTTCTTTGCGCATATCTTCTGGGTAACGATACGGGTACTTGGGACTGGGCACTTGGCGGAGGTAATCGAGAATATGGTAGATCTGTTATTCGGTTCTTTTGATGTCTAGTCGACAATCTTGAGAAAGGCCCCTTTCATGCAAAAGACTTGCTCCAAGACATTTTCAGCAATCACGTGATCATGCTCCGTATTCTCACAGTTCTAGAATTTCTGCAATAATCACCAACTGATAAGGATAGAGAAAGAACCGTTCCTTGAGGATAAACGCTGTAACATTTCCCGGTTCCTTGGCCGTTAAATTGTGCAACTGCTGATAACATCCTTTCAAGTCAAATTTTCTCAAAGCAATTAGCGCCTTCTTTACTTCTGTCTGATCTTGAATCGGCCCTCCGCTCAGCACTTTCTTCTTGCTCTTCATTTTTAGTGAAAATGAAAGTTGCCGTCTCCTAACTCAGAATATTCTCAGAGAAAGATTTGGGATTCTAATTGGGCGCGGAGATGAATGAAATGAGAAAGTGGCCAATAGCGGCGCGAGAAAGGAGGGAAAGAGAGATTCAGAAGAGTAAGAGCAAAACCGTAATTTTGATTTTTCTACAAATTAACTGTTCCTAGAATAATTAACGGAGACATAGAATCCAGTTGAATATTATGTTTAGCAAAAAAGGGTTAATTTTGATCAATTAAAACTGTTTTCAACCTTTTTTATCGCAAAAATCGTGTAAACCCGTAATTATTTTTACTGATAAGATATCTGAATGCCTTGGCTGAATATTTAATTCAATATTTTCTTCAGAAAAATGGCGGATGCAACGTCGAGAAGAGCTCTAAAAGAAATCCGCTCGACTTGTGGGAATAACATCTGTTTCGAGTGCGGCAAGCTCAATCCTCAATGGGTCTCTGTAACTTACGGGTAAGCTATTACAGTTGGTCGAGACTAACTAAGCTCTTTTCAGAATCTGGGTCTGCGTAGAATGCTCTGGAAAACACCGACTCTTGGGCCTCCATCTTTCTCAAATCAAATCGATCACGATGGACAAGTGGACAGAAAAAGAAGTCCAAAAAGTCAGAGCAGGAGGAAATTCGAATTTCAAAGAGTTCCTCGAAGCCCACGACGATTACGTTGCAGAATGGACGATTGAAGAAAAGTATAACTCAATGGTGCATTTTCATTTCTTTTTTCATCGAGTTTAACCAAGTTTCTGTTCAGTTGGCTGCGTTGTACAGAGATAAAGTAACAATCGAAGCAACTGGCGAAATCTGGATCGAAGAAGAAAGCCCCATTTTCATCAATTCAAAGCCAACTACAAAATCTTCCGATACAATTTCCTCACAGCTCTCGGAGATCTCGTTGACAGATGCGAACGATCCGACAGAACAGAGAATACCGAGGGATGCTAAACCAGCAGAAGTCAAGGTCGTGGAAGTTGAGGCAGAAGAAGAGCTTGATACTTTTTCGAGACTGGGGCAGGGGCTGTCTCTTGCTTCTGGCTTTATGAAGAGCACGGCAGAAATGGCAAAGGCAGAGCTCAGCGAATTCAAGGTCAGATTTTCCCTCCTTGTGGCTGTCTGGATGAATCCTTTTAGGAGCAAAACGAAAGCCTGGACAAAACGAAGCAAAACATTTCCAACACACTTTCCAGCTGGAGCTGCTGGGCTTCCAACACGCTCAACAAAGTATCCGATACTCTCGTCGACGGCCTCTCAAATGGCGACGAAAAGAAAGAGGAAGTTCCGCAGTCTTCTTTTTGGTCCGGTTTTGGGCAGAAACGACCTCCGCCAATGTGTATGTCGGTTCAGGTGAGTTCGGAAAGACAGCCTTCTTGATTAAAACTGGCTATTTAGTGTTACTCTGTTGAGGTAAATTAAAAATTGATTAAAAGTTGTATGCACAAAATAACATGTAACATCAAGTACCAAGTAGTGGCATCTCTCATCAAGTCATTTTTATGTTTTCCCAGTTTTATTCCTAGTTTATAAAACAGTCTTTTCTTTTGCATGAAACATGCAGACTTTAAAACACCTCATCATCAAGTAATCATCAGAATATCATGCACTGTTTTAAAACCCGTTTTCAGACGATTTCGGATAATGAAGAGTAAGATTGACAAAAACAGCTGTTTCCAGTTTCCAAAAAATCAAAACCAAATCTGCATCCTTGCCATTTCCATTCAAAGTTTACCATTCTTGTTCAATTTTCTGCAATACTTTTTTCTCCAAACTTCATGTTTTTTCTAAATCTTGTGTTTGTTCTTCTCCCTCTTTCAAGTTCAACATTTTATATCTATTCTGCTACTCTTTTCAACCATTCTTTTTGTCCAGATTGAGCAGCGATGCCCAAGAATAAAGGAAAGGGAGGAAAGAACCGTCGTCGAGGAAAGAACGAGAATGAGGGAGCCAAGCGAGAGCTTATTTTGAAAGAGGAAGGACAGGAATATGCCCAGGTTCGTCAAGGGGTAGATAAAGAAGCTTTGATTGCTCGATTTAGGTGTTGAAAATGTTGGGAAACGGGCGACTGGAGGCAATGTGCTTTGACGGAACAAAGCGACTTGCGCACATTCGGGGCAAGCTCAGAAAGCGACAATGGATCAACACTTCTGGTAAGCATCATCTCTTCTATGCTGATAGTAACGAGTTTTAGATATCATTCTGGTGGGTCTCCGAGATTACCAAGACGCAAAGGCTGATGTGATCATGAAGTACAACTCTGATGAAGCTCGACGACTCAAGAACATGGGCCACCTTCCTGAGTCCGTTAATGTAAGATTCCTCCTGGATGTTCCTGTATTTCCATCGCGTCTTTTCAGGTTGTCGACGGAAACGAGGTTGAAGACGACATCTTCTTCGACAACGAGTCGGACGAGGACTCTGGAGATGAAATTGCCCCACAGCCCTACCAGCCCGTTATCAGGTAGAATTCACCCCTCCCTTTCAATTCTAAGCCCTTCCATAGCAGTGAAAGCGAGAGCGATGACAGTGATGAAAGTGACTAAACGGCAAAGGAAGATCAAATCGACGCCCTTTTCTCCTTCCTTCTCAAACTCTCCTCTTAGAAGAAAAACCGGTTCTTTGGATCGCTTTTCTCGTGCAAAATCTAAACTTTTTAACTTAAAAAAGCCGCTAGGAAAAATTCAACTGAAATTCTTGAAATTCTACTCCTACATGCTTGGACTTTATTGGCTCATTAGTATCTTATGACAATTACTGTTGCTCAAAAAATACTGTTTATCTGCTAAAATAGTTTCAAGCCTTCTCTAGTCTCTACAAAATTAGCATGTTCCCTGTATTACCGCGGTAATACGGGATTGTGACCTTGCTGTTTTTGATTGTTGTAGCATCTTGTCAATCGAAATCGTCAAATCGAAAAAATCACCAAAATAATTTAAGGATATAGCCTTGAATATTGAACTTTCGTAGCGCCGAATCCCTATTACGAATTTATTCATTTTTCAAAGAAACTCTACCTAAAATCTAGCGTAGAATTCGAAAAAACCCTTATTTTTAGTACTTTCTATGGTGTTTGTACCTAAAAATCGACTTCAAAATATAACAGACCGTCGTTCTCTGAAAAATTCCATTAAAAAGGTAAATCTGGATTGATGATATGAAAGACTGAAGCCTTATCTCCAATCTAGCGGTGGATTTTATAAAAATATTGAAGATTACGGCTTCTAGTAACTGGTTTATGATTGTACTCAGAAATGAAGAGTGGCGCGCGCTGCCAATCAGAGCGAGGGGAGAATCTCAGTAAGATTTCGTTCAAGCTGTCGACAAAATTTCTCGTGTAAAATCGGATGAGCGATGGCTGAGTGAGATTTTCCCCTCGCTCTCATTGGCTGCGCGCGCCACTCTCCATTTCGGAGTACAATCAAAAACCAGTTCCTAGAAGCCGTAATCTTCAATATTTTTACAAAATCCACCGCTAGATTGGAGATAAGGCTTCAATCTTTCATATCATCAATCCAGATTTACCTTTTTAATGAAAATTTTCAGAGAACGACGGTCTGTTATATTTTGAAGTCGATTTTTAGGTACTTAAACCCTAGAAAGTACTGAAAAAAAGTCATTTTCGAAATCAACGATGAATTTTAGGTAGGGTAATTTGAAAAATGAATGAATTCGTAACAGGGATTCGGGTGTACGAAAGTTCAATATTCAAGGCTATATCCTTAACCATCCTTTTACGTGAAAACGCTCTAGGCGTGTGAATCTGTCAAAAGAATCCCCGTAACTAAACTACCAATAAACCAAAAGTTCAAACTCAATGATCGTCTTTAGAGAAAAAACCATGTTGCTTTGAATATCAAAAAAGTTGAGTTGATTTATCAACTTGAAAGTTAACTTGAAATCGTCGAAAAAGATGAAGCTGAATTTGGGCTATTTTGATTTGTCCAAGGAAAGAGTCTTGCAATAAATTCAGGAACCTAACACTCAGCGAATCCGTTCGAGAGATGCAACTTGGAGTTCCCAATCAATAAAATCTTAATTTCATATTAAATTCGATAAAACTTCCTGTTTGAGCTTTCCCAAGACTCCAAAAACAAGGAAACGCTGCCTGAATGCCCTGAAAGCGGCCTTCCAGTATGCCTGACGTCCACAAAAATCGTCGGCCGAGGCGAGTATCTCAAAAAGCTGCGCCATGCGAATTTGCAATCGCTTGTTGACGTAGAATCATCTAATCAGGAACGAATTGTGTTTGTCAGCGAGATGCCTTCCCAGCCAAGCCTTTTTGAAGTGAATGGCAAACTGGGGAAGGATGAAAGGCTGCGATTTGCGCAGATGTTGTATTCGGCAATCGACTTTTTACACGGCAAGGGGCTGGTTCACGGTCAGGAAAGGGAGCGTAAAATGGCTCATTCGATCTTTTCGATGTGGAAGTCATGCATGAAAAGTAGACAGCGCTAAAGACTATCTGGACGCTATAAAAGGATGTTCATTATTGTTGCTTGAAATTTAAATCAAGTAGAAAATGCAGCTTTAGATATGAAACCAATCGTACTAATTTTTACATCACGGGTCTTCCAAACATGAAAGAGAAAAAATCTGCTCGGCGAGCAAAGCTCGCTTGGTTTTGCTTATTCGCCCGACTCTCTTAAAATATTCATTTTTGATAAAATGAAAACATTGTTCTTGAATTGATATTATCTGCCCTGTTTCTGTTGTTTCAAATGCTATTTGACAAATAGACCTTGTAATAAAATTAAAAATATTACAAACATCTTAAACCATTTATTCCCTGTCAAAAGTTAACAAATAAAACAGTCCATTACGATGTCAACTCTGACTCTCTCAAAATCTCTGAGTGGTTCGTTAATGCTTTGACGGATTTCGGCGATTTTGCTGGCATAAATTTCCGGCAATCGATCAAGTACTCGGCCCCAGAAGTGATAATTTCAAAACTACGCGATTCGGCGGCAATTGTTCATCCTTCAGATTCGGGTTTTTCAATCAACAAAAAGTTTGAAAGTTGAATTGAAATGCGTCTTGTTTTGGTTAGAAAATGAAGATCCGTACAATCAGCCGATATATTTTCCGCTGGCTTGATCCTATTCGAGGCCATCTTCGGATTAAAGCTGTGGAAAGACGACAAAGATATCAAGTCCCTCGTAAAAACGAAGCTCGCCCTTGCGAAACGCGGGCACGAAGCCAGCTCAGTAGCAGGTGCCCTCACTCAGACCCTTGGCGTCGGCAAAACCTTTGAAGAACTCGACCCAGCGTTGAGAAAAATACTAGAAATTACCACCAGGTGAGGAGGTTGCTGATCATCCGGGGTTTATCCGGCTGTCTTTTTTTGATGAGAAATATTTTTTTTTGAGCAAAGAGGGATCAAATTCAATTTCGCGGAGGAAAATTGATATCAATTATTTTCATTTTCCGGGGACGTTTTCATGGTTTTCGCAAATTATGATTTTCAATTTGTAAAAGTGGGATTTTCTGCCAAATTCTCATCCTGGGTTTGTCAACTTATGAAGAAACCTGAGTGAGGGTCCTGAAAAAGCTTCAAATTGACACTTGATTAGATATTTTTCAGGACCCTGACTCAGGTTTCCAAACAGGTTGTCGAGCCCAGATTCTCCTCGATAGTTGGTCAATTAACTCCTCGCTAAACCCTTATAAAACAATCATCACTAGTTGCCCCTACTGCCAGTCGAGGTCAATCATCCATGTGGCCAATCTTACTTGGGGCACTAACTTGCCAAAACAACCTTTTTTCGGCTACAGGCTGTGATTTATTATTGCTCCCATTTTTTTTTATTTTTCCGCGCCAGACAGGGAAAAAATCGGGACGGGCGACAAGGACGCCCAGCGGCGGCATTTTGCGCAGTGAAGCGGGCGCGTAGTAAAGCACCTCTGCCTTGCGGCGTAGTATTTTCTATTTTTTGGCGCAGCTTGGAGTTTCAAGCTGATGACTAAACCCTGAATGGACCGCGGCCACTTTTGCGCACTAGAGCAGAGAACAATGCTTTTTTGAATAATTTCAGAGAGATTTTATGCCCAGTTATTCAAGAGATTACCCAGGAAGTCGCCCAAGAAAATCTGATGTCTGTACGTATGAAAAATCGAATGAAAGAGTTTTACATAATGCATACCGGTTGGTTCCACGGTTTTTCAAATTATCAATATTGAGTTCCAAGATTTTTATTAACAAAAATGTCTTTAAATAGTGAATATATCGAAAGGACTTTCGTTGGATTATCAAAAGTCATTCATTTTGGTTAGTAACAATAAGTGGCTTACTTCTCCAAAACAAAAGTCTGGCAATCTAGTCCTTGTGACATTGGCACACGACCACGGTCAATTATTTGATGAATTTTCTTTTTGGCCCTTATTAAACAAATAAAGATGGCGAAGGGAATGTCTTGTTATTTCGAGGAATTACCGAATTATCGTGTTTTTATAAACAAAGATAGACTTGATTTTTTAACAACTGGTTGTTTTGTTCTTGAAACAACAAAACCGCAATTAACCAGTTTTAACCAAGTCATTCAGGGAGAGGATAAATTACAGTGTTTCCCTTTTTTAACCATAAGTTAACAATAAAAATGTCTGTAAAAATCGGGTGCTTATGATGCTGGCACGGGAAAAATACACATAGAAGCGAGCATATTTGGTCTAGTCATCATTCTTCTTTACACACGCTTTCTTTCGCAGAGCAAATAACTCACGGTCCTGGTGCTCAAGACCATGGCTGTTCACAAGGCCTCGCGGGTCTTTTGTTATCGAGAATAATTAAAAAAAAGAGAAAGACGCTACTCTTCTTTTTGCACGAAAAGTGTCGTAAAACAACGATAAAAATTATAACGCTCCACTCATCTTTTTATTATTCAGTCATCGACCCAGAGATCGCCCATCAGCTGCCGAAGTTTTGGAGCTACTGAAATGCCCGAAGAGCGAATTTCCGGAAATAAACCTGTTTTCGAACGTTTCCAACGTCGCCATTCCAGAGAACCATTCACTCAGAGATATCATAGAAGCACTGGGGCATAATGATGCTTATTATTTTTGGAGGCTTTCTTCTAATGGACTCAACAGGTTAGTTTTCCGGGTGAAATTAAGATAGTAGCTTGACCCTTAAAATTGGCTAACAAGGGTTGTTTTCAAAAGCGTTTTTTCGCATAACCGGTAATTCCAGTCAACCCCGCGATAATACAAATTACTGGGTGTTGCTGCGTTCTAATGATTAATTTAACAAATCTGATAAGCTTTATTCTGTGAGAACGCCTCCCCGCCGCGCCGGCAATGGCGAAAAGGGCAATCTTTTAGAAAAAAATCGATTCCTTTTCGAAAATATCTAAAAAAATAAGTTGAGACCCCCCTTCGGGCAGCGCGTGTCGCATTAAAAATTGTAGTTTTGATAGAAGTGATAGGGATCCTCTTGAAAAGGTGACGATTAGACTTCTTAACCGGGGATTTTTAGCGAGCTGGAGCGAAGCGGATTGATCCAAAAAACTGTCGGGATTTCGAAAGTCGGGCTCATCCCTTCTACGCACGCAAGTGGCGGAGACAATGGACAAGGATCCGGGGAGGAAAACTCGCATAAACAGGTAATTTGACTTCCCCGGGATAATTAGGGATGAAAGAAGCGGCAAATTATGGCATAATAACGCTAATTAAATTTCCCCCTGAAATCAAGGAAGACTTAGGATTTTGATACTGCAGACAGAACTCATGAAGTCTCCAAATCGATGTTTAAACAAAACGCTAATTCCCGAAAGTGTTAACAAAATATTTGCTGAGTAAACGGAGCACACTCATTTTCCTTTTTATCACTTTTCAAGCGAAACGACCTGTCCAATGAAATCAGGTCGTTTCGATTCTGCTTCCGGGACTAATAAAAGGATGTTGTCAAGAATGATACGCTCTGAATTATGAATTGATTATTATTTGTTCATCGAGAGAGACTTTCGAGGGCTTGAGCATATTTATCTGTCAAATAATCCCGTTTTTTCTCAGACGGAAATCGATCTCACCGTGTTGGAGGGCACGCTTCAGTCAGTCGACACAATCGCCGCCAATCCCGTAATTTCAATCGATATTGACCAGTCTAAACTCTCGCCAACCCTTCGCCAGATCAACGAAGAACGACGACTGCCTCTTTCAATCCGAGAGTCGTCGATAATCTACCAGTTCTCGAGGACTTTGATCTACCGACGCCTTTTGTCCGGATACCCTCATACGCTCGAGAGGATCATTCAAGAGGCCAAGTTAGGGTTTTTTAATTATGAATTTTAATTTCCCCATCAAACGGGCGCTTTCAATCTTTTAAATTTCCGTTGTCGTTTGATCTTTGTGAGGCCGACTTCATTAGCAAAAAATAACAACAAATCCAAATGAAGATTGATATCCCGCCAAATTTGAGAAGCAATGTTTGGAGCGCTCTTTTGGAAGTTTCCGGCGACACGCGAGAAATGTACAAGCGCATCAACAAATGCGCAATCAGAGAGACTGACAGGCAAATCGATGTGGACATCCCGCGATGTCATCAATATCTGGAAGTGATTGCCAGTCCTGAGGGTGCCCGGAAGCTCAAGCGTGTGATCAAAGCCTGGCTTGTTACCAACCCGGGGCTGACTTATTGGCAAGGACTGGACTCTCTTACTGTGCCTTTTGTAGTCCTGCATTACGACCGCGAGGATTTGGCATATGCAAGCATGTCGAATTTCATTCCGAAGTACTTGAATGGTCTTTTCCAGCGAGACAACGCGGCTGTCATTCAGGAAAGTGTTGTTAAAATTATTCTTGAATAGTCTTCTATGTTTTTAATTTTACGTAATGATTGACAACTCGAAAACAGGAGTACCTCGCTGTTTTCCAGCAGCTGATCTGCCATCACGACCCGGAACTAGCCAACCACTTACTCGATATGGACGGTCAGGCGTTCGTGCCAGATCTGTACGCCATCCCGTGGTTCCTCACAATGTTTTCACACGTCTTCCCCATCAAGAAGATCTTCCATCTCTGGGATAAACTGCTGGTTTATGATTCATCGCTGCCGCTGTTTATTGCAGTTGCAATCATGCTCCGCCTGAAAAGACAGCTGATGACATTCAGCTTTAACGACTGCATCTTGTCATTCTCAGGTTTGTCACGTGATGATTTTTTTTCAATAACATTTTCATTATTGAATAGATATGCCGGATATAGACGTAGACGACATTGTCACACAAAGTACAATTCTCCACCGAGACACTCCTCTAAGCTGCTCTTATCGAGTTCACCAGCCGGACTTTGAAGATACCTCGCTTCTGTCTATTCACAAAGAAGACATAGACCTCCAAGCTCGGCGAATGGAGCGTCTACCGATCATTTCGTTATCAGATGTCTGCCGAATGAACAGAATCAGGTCATCAACTTTCATTGGCAATTTCACTGGCGAAGAGTTCGAAATCGTCGATGACATTGAAAGCATCGGATCAGTAGAGCGGCTACTGATTGTCGATTGTCGCCCAGAAGAGGAATTCAATACTGGAACGCTACCTGGTGCAATAAATTTGCCTGCAGAAAGCTCTTTCGAAGATCCAACAGCTGAAATTCCGAACCCAAGTCTGCGCCCCTCTCTTTCGAGCATAAAACTCATCTCCTCGCGTGGAAACAGGATCATCGTCGTCGCTGGAAAAGATACGCGCAGTGGGCAGGCCTTTGCCGAGCGGCTTCTCTCCCTTGGCTATCCGAAGCTTACCGTTCTTCATGGAGGCTTCGACCTTCTTTCTTCCCTTGGAGCTACTTTGGAGCTTCCAAGTCTACGCGAAGAAACATAAAAACACCCACCATCTTTTCTTTATAGAAAACTCTTCTAAGTTTCAAATTATTCATTCCCATTTTCTTCATACCTTTTCTTATTCTAACGTATTTCTTCTGCCGGATTCTTGCAATCAATTCTTCATGAAATCAACCTTCCTTATTCCCTCTTTTTCAGATTAGTTGATATCGGACCTTTCAAAATGGTGTTTATTAATAAAGAAGAGGCAGCGAGCTTTCTTCTCTCAAGAAGTAGACGAGCAAACACGGGAATGGAAGAATTCGGCGAGGGGAATCTTGAGCAAGAGTGCTTGGAGGAAGTTTGCAACTACGAGGAAGCGCGGGAAATCTTCGAGTTAGATGTCATCGGTCTCAACAAATTTTGGCCAAACTACATCAATCCTACAACGACGACTACTACGACAACAACAACCAGAGCCCCAGAAACAGATTTTTTGGATAGGGCCTACAGCCCCGATAATGCCAGTGGAGCAACACTTCGAATTTGGCCGATCATTGTGATCATTCTCAGCGCTGGACTTATCATCGGCGTCTTATATTTCTGCTGGAGAAAGCGGCGAAACAATCAGAACAAAAAAGAAAAGGGCCAAGGAGAAACAAACGATCTTCTGGCTAACCATGGGCATGTAGATGTAATGGGGCATTCAGCGAATGGAACTTTCGGGAGATTTGAAGTTGGACTCAAGCCAATTGTTCATAGGTACACTCTCGTAAAGGCTCTTGAATTGGCGATAAAAACTTTACTAGCTCTTCAAGCAGATCCCAGTCGACTCAACAATCAAATTCCTCTACTGGAAATAGTGGCCCACCACCTCCGTACATGGATCAACGATCCGACTCTCTTATCAGCGCTGCTTCTCGATCTCAATATATCATTCAAGATCCAAAACTCGCGAGGTACCGAATTGAATGATGAAATTTTTTTCAACCTTCTTTTAGGGACGTGAAATCCTGCCTGATCGATCGAAAGAAAGTGACCATCGGCGAACTCCTAAAAGAGGGAAATTTCGGAGCGGTTTACAGAGGAACTTTGATCAATCATGGTCGAAAACAGGCGATCGCGATCAAATCCCTGAAGTGCGTCACGGACAGTTCCAGCTTTGAATCCTTCATGCGCGAGGGAGTACTGATGAAAGGTAATTTCCATTGCGCAAGTATTCCGACTCGAGAATTTGGAATGATAATTGTTTCGCCAGACGAATATATTAAAACGGTATTCAGAATTCAATCATCCGCACGTGTTGAGCTTGATCGGAGTCTGTGAGGGCGACCAATCTCCGATGCTTCTTCTTCCATTTTGCGAAAAGGGCGATCTCCGTGCCTATCTTCGCGATCCTAAAATCGTCGTCACCGTTTCCAACCTCGTCAAGTTCTGCCAAGAGATTTGCGATGGAATGGCGTACCTGGCTTCGCGAAAATTCGTCCACCGAGATCTCGCCGCCCGAAACTGCATGGTCGACAGTAAATGCAGCATCAAAGTCTCTGATTTCGGCCTTTCCCGCGTTTTCGCAAACGAACGCGATTACTACAGGTGAGGAATTTGCTCATTTGAACTTTTTTCGATGATTCGATTCATTCTAGAGCGCAATCGACGATTGAACTTCCGCTCAAGTGGATGGCCCCGGAAAGTATAAAGTACAACTATTACAAGTAAGTGATTAACTAGCACCTCGTTAAATTTGTCATATATTTAAAGCTAGAATTATGAGCACCTGTCTGCCACAGCATTGCGCTTTTTGTTTTGTGCTTTTCTAACTGGAAAATTTTCAGCGAAAAAACGGACGTCTGGTCGTTTGGAATCACGTGCTGGGAAGTGTTCTCCAGAGCTGTCATTCCATACCCAACTGTCGAAGCTCAAAACATCCTCACTTACCTCGACTCGGGGAAGCGACTGGCCAAGCCGCCCCACTGCCCCGATGAAATTTACCAAATGATGAACGAGTGCTGGAGCGAGAAGGGCGAAGATCGACCGACTTTCAGAGAAATCAAGCCGATCTTTGATGCAATTCTCGGCCGCGCCCAAGTGCCAGAAAGACAGAAGAATCGATACTCAGAGCCTCCTAAAACATACGGAAAAGCAAAAGCAGTAGGAAGAAGTAATACAGAACGACCGCCGTCGGCAAGCCCGTATGATAGACATCAGGGCTCGTTCCAGACGCAAAATGGCTTTAGAAGCGTCGACAGACGAGAACAGAGACCTCGGCCAAAGGAGAGGACTCTCAGATAAGGTAGTAAAATTTATATAACTCCAGCCCTTATTAATTTTCTTTTGTAGGTCATTAATTATTCAAGCTACCTCTGCCTTCCACAAAAATTGCTAAACTGATGATTACTTCTGTACATTTCTGTTCGCTCAAGTTCAACCGCTCCGTCCAACTTATCCTTTGTTTATATGCAGCTCATTGTGAAAAAATAATATTAAAGCTATCAAACCCTAAATATAAAAAAAAATGATTCAAATTGACCTCATTTGAACTCGGAAATTTATCTTTTTTTTTACCACCGCTTATATGCCTTTTCTAGCTTTTGTTTGTTCTATGCGGAAATTTTGAATAAGAAGAGATTAGGAAAATGTGATAAGAGCAGTGCCCAGGCTGGAGAGTGTGTGACGTAGAGGTGCAGAATTTACCAGACTAAGACGTGTTGACTTATGATTTGGGAATTGGTTAGCGCGTGGACAGAAACGGCCGTATTTCTTGTTCTAGTATTCTCGCTACCGGCCGTCAGCATTCTTAAATGCTCTCAACAGTGACAACAGATCAGATTTATGATGATTTGAACTTTGAATGATGGAGCGTTTTCCCGATAAAAGTCGATATTCTGATTATATTCAGACTAATCTTGGCACATAAATTTATCGAGTAATTCTTAATCATCCAATAATATTATGACTATGAAGTTGTTTTAAGCTATTCACGCCCTTATTTGTAAAATTGATTGAGTAGAGGACGTGCAAAAGTACCAGACTTTTACGTGGCTACTCAGGTGGTCTCGCTGTGCTGACCTGTGTGTGACAGTATGTCAACGGCATTACACGACAAGGCATAATCTTCACGTTCACCCCTTTTCTAGTAGAATCAAGTGATAGATCCTTGAGTTCAAAATTTATACTGATTTTTTACTGGAACTGGAAATTCAAGATGCGTCATTCTATGAATCGACTGAATCTTATGACTGTAATCTTTAGTATATTTGACGTTTGACACGTCATTTTAGGTAAATATAGCAGGACTCATAAGAGTGAATGAACTGTAGGAGTGACCAGAGGGTCATTTATGTATAAGATTACAGATAAAATGAGGAGGATTATTAGATGAAACTTGATCTAGTTGTCTCATAAATTCAAAGCTCTTGGTAGAGAGCTTATTTCATGTCGAATCGGGACGGCAATTTGCACCTTTTTTCGTCAACTGAAATATCTTCATCCTTTTATAACACTACAATAGGGTAATTTGTCAATACAGTTTCTACAGGTATATCACAGTAATAACTCAAACTGTGTAGCTAATTGCTCAATATATTTTGAATGTCAAGAAAACCACTCATACAGACTTGATTGATGTTTTAACGAGGCCAGGGCTGCTATTTTCCAAATCCTTTTCTTTCTTGTTTTTCCAGCATTGGGTAAATTTTAGCCGGGTTTTTTATGAGTTCAACTTGTCGCTCTTTTTGTATTTTTTACATTCCGCAAGTATTTCCTTCTTTTTTTTACCATAAACCTAACCCTTTCTGACTTTCAATTACTGTAATCAATTCAATTCTTATCCCCTGCTTCCTTTAATCCTTTCCTTCTAATCGATGAATATTTAAAATTTCTTCTGTAAGAGGTTGGCTGGGCTCCAACCTCGACTATTTCTTTCAAAAATTTTTCCGCTCAATAAATCCTTTGAATAAATATCTTCTCTAAAACAAGAAGCGCATTTTTTCTAAAACAGAGGTCACAATAAGAGTGATAACAGGTCATAACTTTTCAAATGGTCGAATTTTTTATTGACCAATTTTATGACCACCGGACGTGAGAGGGTTAAGGCCATGTCAGGTTGAAATACACTTGATTACATAAGAGCCCGTAAGTCATTTTTGAAGATCAAAATCGGTCCTTTTCGTATTGATATTTTTTCCTTAGAGATACTGAATAATTCTCCTTGATTTACTGAATACAATCTGTTTTCCCAGCGCTTCCTGTTGATTCCTGAACGGAAAGATCTGTAAAACTCTGAGGAGGGCGCGCCTGAGCGTGAGCCATAACTTTTTTCTTTATAAATAGAGCCACGCTGCTCACCAAATTTTTCATTTAGACTCATCGCATTCGGACACAGAGGTCGAGCGTGGACGAGTTTTTCAACAAAAATACTCACTTATCACTTTCACTTATTTACTCTTCCAATTTCAACCTTGGACGACTAAAATCGACGCACTTATCTTCAAAAAGAAAGAAAAATATATTTTTGTAAAAACCGAAGAAAAATATTTTCAATTCCCAAAAACCAGAAAAACAGAAAAGAAAAGATGGAAAATGTACTGAAAAGAGACAGAAAGCGAACTTATGCGAAACAAGAAGATGACCATGATGAGAAAGGCGTGTTACTGAAAAGATTTGCACATCAAGTCGCGGGGAGGAACCCCATGTACTGCATAGGTAAGATTTCTCTCGTGATTTATTGTGAGCACACAGAATTGAAAAGAGATAAATTATATCTTTCTACATTATTTTAATTTGAAGCTCAAAAAAAATTCTTAGACTTGACCCATATCGAGCGCTAGAATCACTCGATAAATTTCTATTAGGTTATTAGTCTACTGGAGAGCATAATTACGAAAACAACGTAAACAAAAATTAGTCCTGAAGGCCATACTAACTAGTTTTATTAGCTTTTTTCATCAAAATAGTGTAATCATCAGCCCAATCGTCTCTGACTTCGGAATCAGGGACTGAAAGCTCAAATGAAAAGCCAACGATAAATTTTTACGATGTTTTTCCAAAGCCCTGGGATAGTTTCAAAAAAATTCTTTCGGGCCCGGAAATCATGAAAAAACTGCTAGTGTACGATTGTAGAGCTCGTTAAGACGAGTCGATTGATACCTCCAACTCTTGAAAATTCCAAGATTTTCCGCCTACGCAACTGATAAGAAGGTTGCTCAAACAAAATCGTAATTCCTCTGCCGTTTTCGTTCTACAGTAGCTACAAGGGAGTTCGACCCCTAGAAATGATCCTTATGAAAAGTTGTACTGACAGAGGAAGTTTGAACCTCTTATCACGTGTCCTGCCGAGCTTATCAGTGAAAAATCATTTTTTTTCCATATATTCTCACAAAACATGTAAAATGATCAGTTTTTTGCGCTGAATTCATTAATGAATGAAATATTATCTCTAAAAAAACGATTAATCTCAATCTTAATATCAATTTGTAAGAAAATATGGAAAAAATTATTTTTTACTGATAAGCTCGGGAAGACACGTGATAAGAGGTCCAAACTTCCTCTGTCAGTACAACTTTTCATAAGGATCATTTCTTGGGGTCGAACTCCCTTGTAGCTACTCTAGAACAAAAACGGCAGTGGAAATACGATTTTGTTTGAGCAACCTTCTTATCAGTTGCGTAGGCGGAAAATCTTGGAATTTTCAAGAGTTGGAGGTATCAATCGACTCGTCTTAACGAGCTCTACAATCGTACACTAGCAGTTTTTTCATGATTTCCGGGCCCGAAAGAATTTTTTTGAAATTATCTGGCAATGAAAACCAACAGCTAGTAATACAGAGCTTTTACTACAGACAGAGTCGATTTTATAGCCCGACCATTCTTTATTTTGTGCCCTCTTGCTTCTATAAAGCTTCTATGTTCAGACAGCACGACAATCTGCAAGCCACTGAATCCCCGCGAGGCGCAGTTTTACAACTCTCGCGGGTTCGTCAAGCGCCTCGAAAAATTCGCACCGCGTTTCCGCGGCAGATTGGTGGCCAGGGTCAACGATCAAGGACAAATTCTCGCCATTTCAAATGATAACGCCCCCAGTCTGAGTTGTCATCGACTGCCCCTAAAGCATAGGGTCAGACACAAGTCAGACAACTCGACTTCTGATGGAGGAAAGGCTTTTTCAAGCATAATAAAAATCTGTTTCACAGTTTCATCCTTACATCACCCACATGTAAAAAAGCCTGACTCTGGCTCCTGAAAAAATAATCTTCTTTCAGGACCCTGACTCAGGTTTCTTTACAGGTTGTTGATCCCGGTTTGAGTCGTTATCAACTGGTTTGAATATAGAAAAAGCCACACTAAAGACTCATCAGAAGGGGATGAAAACGACAACACATTATCAGCCAACTCCTGGAGCGAAAGAATTCACAAAGAAAAACGGTGTCTGAGTCATCGAAAATTCGGTAAGAAGAACAGGAATTTTTTTAACTTGCTCTGTTTTAAAAACAACAGTTTTCATAGCATACGTTTGTAGCGTGCCAGATAAATCACCAAATACGCTGATACGTATCTCCTGGCACTTCAAGATCAGGTGTGATTATTGATAGTCAAGAGCACACCCTTTTTTGGCACTAGAAATTTTTATTATTTATTATATATTATAGTTTTTATTCTTTTGTTTTCTACTAAGATTGTTTAGAAGTCATCTTACTCGAGAATGTCACAGCCAACTGTCAGAAACCTGTAGTTCTCGATGTCAAAGTTGGAACGCGCCTGTGGTACCCGCTGGATACGGAAAAGAAGATATCCAATCACGTGATAAAAGCAAAGAATACGACGACGGAGAGTCTCGGTCTCAGGCTTCACGGACTTCAGGTAGCTACAACATAATGTTCTTCTCAATAAAATGAATTTTCAGATCTACCACCCTGAAGAAGACAAATTCGAACATTGGGACAAGCACTGGGGCCGTTCGTTGAGTTCGGCGTCCTTTGAAAAGGCAGTGTTTACATTCATCGATTCAAGCCATCCAAGGCTGAGATATCCTATCGCCTCGGCATTACATCAACATCTGGTGCTATTAAGGTACACTTACCAATTTCAAAAGGGATTTGACCGCTTTTAAACCCCATATAAAGCCTTTTATATTGATTTCTCGCGGCTTTTATTATAGCTCCTTCAATGCCCTGGATCAGGAGAAAGGACAATGAAAATTTGACAAGCCAGCCCTCGTGTCCTTTTGTCTAACTTAAAAATCATAATTTAATCAATATTGAACGAGCAAATATGGGTGTTAAAAGAGTTCAATAAACTCCACCGCATTATGTTATCAACGAGAAATTTCAGGAGATGCGTAGAAAGTCTGGAATCTTACAGATTTCCTGGGTGCAGTTTGCTCCTCATTTTCGACGGAGCAGCGTGGGAGAGACTCGACGAGTGTAATGTTGATGAAGACAAAGTTGAAGAGCTCACGAGATGGTTGAGAATGGACAATTTGGTCTCCATCAAAATGGTCGACTTCGCCAAAGGTATGAAAAGAGTTTTTGGCTTTCAATCAAGGCCTTTTTTGTAGCGACGTATTCGGGCTTTCTTCATGACAAAATCCACGTTGGACCAGACCAAGGCTACTTATACGGTCTCAACAACCTGCTCAACATCATTCAGACTTACCTCGACTCCACAACGCATTCAAATCAAAAATTCTGAAAAGTTTTCATTTTTTTCAGCTGTCTTTCCTCCGCCTCATCTTACCAACTCTTTTCCAATTTTAAAAATATTCATAATTACTAAACGAATCATCAAATGAATGATCCCGCCCTGATCCCTTAAAACTTACTCTCTTCCTTTTTTTCTTTATTTTTAAGTCGAAAAAGAAAGAAGACGTGAAATCATTAACAATTTCAATCAGTTCAACAGTTCAATTTTTATTTTATTTTTCGTCATTTTCAAGCTTTTGCAGACGTTTTTGTTAATTATACTTATATCTGTTCTTTATTAAGAAACTGCCTTTTCTGGTAATTATTCGAAATAAAATCACAATTCTCTATAATAAAGTTTTGCTTCTTGTTTTTGTCGTTTCTCGTTAGCACTTTGCTTCTAAGCCTTATTTTTTTCGCTTGAGGTGTCTAAGATTATTGCACTTTTTCAGCTATGAATATTTGTTTTGAAATCATTATTTTTACTAAAAAATGGTGCCTAAAAATGTGAAGCTTTGACGCTTTAGTGAGGTTTAACTTCTGACTAAGCTCGACAACCTGTGTAGAAAACCTGAGTCAGGGTCTGAAGCAGCTCAGTAGGGTTGTATTTTCGAAGCCATTTGAGACTTTGTTTAAAAAATAAGCCGCTTTAGCCGCTTTTCATTGATGATCTTTCCGACCCTGACTCAGGTTTTCTGCACAGGTTGCCGGCCTGAGACTTCTGAATTTCATCTTTCTGCATATTATTTTAGCGGTAATATGCCAAAATTCTTGTCGCACTTTTTTGTCTCATTTTCCTTGTCTATTCCAATCAAGATTACCTGCATAAATGGTATTATTTCAATGTTCAAAGTATCCCACCTTTTTCATTTTCACCAAAACGAGATTAAGCCCGCGTCTATTTTCTCTGATTCGTTAACAACTCTATTTTCAGTAGTAATTATTATACTATATTTTTCTGTTCGTGGTGATATTGAATAAATATTATCTTCATGTTCTTTCAAAATTCTCTAACGCTCGGTATAATCGGAAGATTATTAGAAAGAAATGGCGGTGCGGCATCGAGAAGAGGTTGAAGAATTCGACTCTAGAATTAAAGTTCATCCGCTAGTACTCCTGAATATTTCACAGCACTTTAGCCGAATTCGTGCGCAGCTTTCAAAATTAGGGTCATTCAAATCAGGTTTCGACTAACCTGTTACCTCTGGAGAAAACCTGTGTCAGGGTACTTCTCGCCTTTGTTTTTTTACAAGTGGAGCTCTTTCGGGGCACTGACACAGGTTCTCTTCATAGGTTTCTGCTCAGTTTGTTTTGTTCTTCCAAGGAATGATCCTTGAATTAGAGAAGAAGGTCCCGCTCGAATTTTCACTGTCAAAGGAGCTCTTTTGGGCAAAACACGATCGGTTCTTGAAATTTGCGACACATTCGAAGTCCCGAGCGATCCGAGAGATCCACTGAGCTTCATGGACTTGGGATTCCTCCTCGAGAAACACGACCATCTTCAAGAAGTCACCAGCCTTGACGTGGTCGGCTGGTACTGTACGTCTATTCATACAGTCGACCACCATGATCTGGCGCAAACAAAGATGCTCTTCGAAAAGCTCGATTCGACTGTTATTATGATGAAAGTTGATCCTTTCAATGTAAGAGCGCCAATTTTCTTCTTTTGTTTCTAATAATTCTAAAGGATGAAACACCAGCCGTGATTTTTGAACATTTGGATGGCGAAAATTGTTTGGAGCAGCGCGAATTTAATATGGAAACTCAAGATGAAGAGCGGGTTAGTTGCTTTTCCCTCCTGATTTTCAAATAAAAACTGATTTCAGATCGGAATGGATCGAATTATCGGTGATGGTCTGGGCGACCACAGCGCCAGTGCTGCAGAACGAGTTCTTGAAAAGGTCAAAATTCTCGAGAAATACCTTCAAGCGGTAGCAACTGGCGAGCTTGAAGGAGACATTGACATCATTCGGCAAGCAGACAGTATCTTCTCTGACCCGCCTTATGCTCCGCCAGAGATAATGGACAAACACGAAGAAGGTACAAAAGATGATGGGGTTTTATACTTATCCTTTTTCTTCAGATGGACGAATGATACAAGCACTTACAGATGTGACTTTGAGCTCGAAATCACTCCACCAGTACGTTCAAATGGACAACGGCCTGGTCAAAAGAGCTGGTACCAATCAGCTTTCGGGCAAGTGGGGTCAGAAAATCGTCTACAACCAACACTTGTAATGTTAAAAACTGCTCTTTTAATTTGTCCTGCGAATAAAACCTTCAACTGCCAAGAATGAATCGTCTCAAATCAATCAAAATAACTAGAATGCGGTAAAAATGGCGGCGATTCGACAAGCACTCCAGCGAGACGTCTTTACCGCGCGCGACGAGCGCCTTTTAGGCGTTGTCCACGTCACCAAGAATAAATCGAAGTCGAAAAAGAATAATTTCTTATGTCTGGCCGTCACTTCGGAGCAACCAGTACAAGTGTCTGTCAGTGTCGTCAAGAAAGGAGCAAGAAATGATGAGTTGTACAAAAGGCATATTCAGTGGCTTCTGACTGATTTGAAGCAGGTTGAGGCCCTGCAGAATCCAACAGGAATGGGATAGAAAGCCAATTCGGGTCCTACGCCTTGGGATAGTCATGAGAAAATGTTGATTGAAAGATTGAGTGAACTTTTAATTATCCCAAAATGAGAATTTGACCTCGTTTTCGACAAATTGTACAGATGGGAAGCCGCTTCCGAGTCGGAGCGAGAGAACTTCCTCATGAACTTAGTAAAACTTGCCAAACGCTACCTCTCTCCGACGCAACTCTCCAGCATTACCTTCAAGAACATCAACGTATCCACGCCCGACCGCTCTCAAACACAATCAGACGACCTCACCGACGCCAGAATCGCCGATTATCAGGAACTATCAGACGTCGAGCAGACAGATCTTGGCGATATCCTCCAGAATTGTGAGGGCGCGCTTCAAAATGCCGAGGCGTTTGCTGAACTTCTCCAAGGAAATTTATCCTCTCTTGACGGGGATAATATGTCGGCAATTATGAAATCAGACTCGGACATCAAAGAGTTGATGAAAACACTCGACAAAGCAATTAACGAAGTCGTGAGGGTCGAATCCGAACTGGAACGATATGATGCGATGTTGGGATCTATTCAGGCAAATGGGTTCAATTTTCGTCTTTCATAAATCACACAATTTCAAGCGAATTCTGAACCTTCAAATAGACCCAAATGGGTGCCATGAAGTCGCAACAGAGTTTCATTCAAATTTCCGACTTGAATCAGCGCCGTCTTGTTTCCGAAATAGCCTCAATTGTTGACCAGCTAGAAATGCCAAAAGAACATCATCGCGCTCTCCGGGATGCCGATTTGGACTCATCTGACGGGATAAAATCGGCGATTGCAGCAGCAGAGCATTTATCAAGAGCGATGAAAGTTGAACTGCCAATGGGATTAAGCAATATTGCTTCGGTCATCGAGCAGCAAAAGCTCTTCAACGAACTCAGAGCCAAGTTCTCCCAGCGCCTGATGAAGCATCTCGAGAACCGATTCCTCGAGCAACGCGATCATGTTGGCGAAGCTTCTGATCGAGGCGCGCTAAAGGCAAGTGTACTCTATTTTTCTTATCGCGTTTTGACAGTTTGCTTTAGCTTCCTAAACATACACAGCTCCACAAACGACTGATGCCGTATCGTCCGCTGATCGTGTGGCTGCGAATGAACGATCAAACAACTTTCATGAGTCTTGTTGCGACGTATACAGAATCTGTGAGGGGCGTTTATAGACGAGAAATAAGACAATTCCGGGAATTAGCAGAGAAGCGATTTGAGGTAGGCCACCCGTTATCATCTCTAGAATGTTTGTATTGTCATAAAAATTGACTTAAACCCGTCTAAAGGTCAATCCAGAACAATGATTTTAGGACCAAATGAAGGAGCGAGAAGCGAAAGAAAACAAAACGCTGAAAAGCTCGAGTGGTCTGACACTTGGATCATCTAAAAAGCTCTCTGGTTCAATAAAGAGTGTCTCCAAAATTGGCGGAAGCATCAAAAACCTGTCGAAAAGTACACTAAGTCTGACGAAAAAAGCAAAAAAATTCGGCTCCTCGCTGAGCATCAACAAGGGCAAGGGGCTCGGGCGTACTGCATCGATGACATCCATCGGTTCTGGTAAGGATTCCAATTTCCCAGAAAAAGGGGAGCTTCTCTAGAACATGCATGTGTTGGATTGTAGTATTTGCGTTTAGGGTCATTGATAATTGATTTGTCCGCGGCGGACAGGACACGTTTTTCGGACACTATGCGCGAAGTTCTCAACGAAATGGAGCCGATCTGCCAAGAGGAGCAAAAGTTTATCACCGACTTCTTTAACCTCACAGGTATTTTCCAATAGGTAGTCTTCCTTGATTTCAAAAACAGCAAAAAATGAAGGCAACAAAAAAACGACAACTTCTCCTTTTAGAAAAATCAGCTTCGAACGCACTTTTCCGCATCTTTTGTTACTCATGAGCACATTGACATACGCACACCAAATTCAACGATTTTAGAAATCTCAATTGTCAAGTAGAATGGTGACATTTTATTCATTCATTTACGCATTTACAAAGAGAGAGAGACCCACGCTCAAAGATATTTGCATTGTGAGTACAGGCAGCTCGATACACGCAGAATTAAAAATTGCAAATTTGAAACTTTATTTTATAGATTTTTTTTATTCCAAAAGAGCTCGGCAAGAAATTTCACTGCAACTTCCTTTTGCATTCACACAACTTTATTTATTTATATAAACACTATTCTTTCAACTCCATTTTTTCAGCCGAAGGACTCTACGAAGGCGACTCATTCATTCGTTTCGATGAAATTGACGAAAATAACGAAGCCAAGCGCGAACAAGCTATCGAGGCGGCGATCAATAAAGGTAAAAATGGAATTGGACCAGAGAAAGCGAGGAAAATAAACCCGCCCAAATCACTGTCGTTTCGGGCAGTTACTGTATTGTAGAATTTTAGCGTCAATATTTGGTTACTTTATGGGCGTTTTGTCGCTCACACTGTTGTAAATCCAGGGCTTTTTGACGTCAGAGAGAATGCTAGAATTGTTTTTTTTATCAATTATATAATATCATTATAATTCATATTATAAAAGATGACAAAGCGAAATCATTGTATTTTTACGTCAATGAATGGGTCTTCAGATAAATTAAAAATTAATGATTTACATAGAAATCCGACGGTTGATGTCAGATATCTTTGGCGGCGAATCAGACTCGTTAGAGGATGAGCTCGGTCAATTGATCGAATTCGGAGATCAACTTGACAAGCTGAATTCACTCTCATTACTTGTCGTTTTGAGCGAACGGGTATTGAGAGAAAAGGTACAAACCTTTTTGGGAAAATTATTGGGACTTGCGCTTGTTCAAGGAACGGCTTGACAAAAATTAAAGAAATTATTGCGAAAACTAATATTTTTTTCTTTAAAAAGAAACTGTATAAAAAAAGAAATCGCGTGTGTTTTTGTGAAGCCCTGACTCAGTGAAGAGGTCCTTCGATCGATTTGTGAATGATCGAATCCAGCGAATCGATGAGTATCGCCCGCGAACCGGTGAAAAAGTCGGAATTCTATGGTTCGTCAAGCAGTTTGACGATCTAGCCCAGCTAGCCGAGACGATATTCGACAAAGCAGAGCGGAGAACCGATTTGGACAGAGCCTACAAAAAGTTGTTACAAGGCGTTTTACGCGGAATCGAACAATGCGCGAACAGGTATTCTTAAAATTTCATTTTCTTCGTTTTTGACAGACGAATATTCTTTGAATTGTTATTAAAGAAAAATTCCTGTTGAAAAATAAAAAGCCGCAAGCGGCTTCGAGCAAGAGACAACTTCAGCAGTTTTTCTTTTATAATCACAATTTGATTTTACCAGTAGAAAATTAGTCAGCCAGACATGAGAATCCCGGTATTATAAACGACGCCTAAAACTATCTTTTTCCAAAAAATAGACAGCCATCTGTTTCTAATCTCCCTAAATCTTACCAGGGTTTGATCCCGTCTCAAAACCTCCCATTCATTTTTATTCAGCGGGGCAAAAACGCCCTCGGATGTGATCCGTTTCCAGAACTACCACCATTGCTTTGCCGTTTTATCCTCCCTGCGAATCGAAGCACTGGCGAATGAGAGGAAAGAGACGAAGAAGCTGTATCAGTCCTGTATGGAATCGTATGCCGCTTTGTTCTTGGGAAGGCCGTTGGAGCAAATCGCGATTTTCTTCGACGGTGTTACGAAAGAGATCGACCAAGAGCGGCCAGCTGAGGAGATTCAATTCATGGCGATGTACAACAAGAGCTCGCTGAGAAAAGTGATCAAGGAGTATCCCGGCAAGAAGGTCAAGAAGGGACTTGAAGAGCTCTATCTCAAGGTCGAGAAGCACACGGCGGAAGACGATAACAGACTCTTGCAAGTCGTCTGGAGAGAGATGCAGGAAGAGTTTATCAGACAATACAACCATTATGACAAGTAAGTCTCTGAACAACTGCTTGTAGTCAGCTCTATTTTCAGTCTTCTTCAACAATGCTACTCCGGGACTGGCATAAAGATGGACTTCACCCTCTCCGACATCCTCAACTACTTTTCTGAAATTGCATCATCCCATTACTAGATTCCGCATTTAGCCTAACATTTACCCCATTTACACCCTCTCTCTATCTTGTGAACAAGTTCAGAACAAATTAAGATCCCCTTACCATTGATCTATCTCCTAGCCTTACTAAAATAACCATATGACTGAAATTATTCCTCCTAAACGTACTTCCTTTTTCTACCTGCTCAAACATTTCCTGTACTTATTCTGATGTAAAATGCACGCTTTCGCTTGCATTTTTGTGCAATTCTTCGTTCAATTGTTCGGTTTATTCAACTTTAAATATTCTGTAAAGCTTTACCTATCTTCATTACTGCAACTTCACACCGCAATCAAGCCAGAACTACTGGTAGCAGCAGTCGTTTAATCCTTTTTCTCTTTCTAGTATGGGTGACAGCGATGAACCCATCTCGATTCTTATCGACGAACTTCGAAATGAAGACATTTCGTCCAGACTGAAGTCAATGTCAAAGGTAGATAAAAATATCATCCTATACTTTTTTATAACTTGAATTTTGTAGCTCCCGACGATCGCCCTGGCGCTTGGCGTTGAAAGAACAAAGTCCGAACTTATCCCGTTCATCATTGACTCAGTTTACGACGAAGACGAAGTTCTCGAGCGGTAAGAAAAAGCCCCTTTACTAGATAAGCTAAGTTGAGAAATTCAGACTCGCAGATGAATTAAAGCGCTTCATTCCCTTGGTCGGCGGGCCCGCCCATGCACACATCATTCTTACTCCGCTCGAATCGTTGGCGATGGTCGAAGAAACCGTTGTCCGTGATCGAGCTGTCCAATCTCTCTGCGCCATCGCTCGGGAGATGTCTGCTGAGCACATTGAGCAGTACTTTGAGCCTCTTATTCGACGACTCGCTACTGGTGACTGGTAAGAAGCACCCTTCTTCGATCCCTCGTTACCTTATTCAGGTTCACCTCGAGAACTTCCGCCTGCGGACTCTTCGCTGTCGCTTACAACAGAGGAACAGGCCATGTCAAGCAGGAAATGCGATCCCTCTACCCAAGCCTTTGCGGCGACGAAACTCCAATGGTTCGAAGAGCTGCTGCTTCGAAAATTGGCCCCCTCGTCGCAGAAATGGAGAAGGACTTCGTTCAAAATGACTTCCTGAAACTCTATGAGGTATTGACTTCCCCTTCTTCTTCAAGTCTAAGAATCTGCTCCTTTTAGAGTTTTGTTGCCGACGACCAGGACTCAGTCAGACTCTTGATTTGCCCAGCTTTTGTGCAGATCATTCCCAAGCTTGATGTTGAAACCCAAGAGAGCAAAATTATTGTCATGTTGAAGAAATTCCAGGAAGACAAAAGCTGGAGGGTGCGAAATTCGCTTGCAAACATACTCGTCGATCTGGTTTCCGCTCTGGATGCATCCTTAGGTTCGTGGAGAAAGACATTGATAAGAGTTTACCGTTTTTTTAGTAAATGAGACGATCAATATTTTCAAAACGCTGGTAAAAGATCTGGAAGGTGAAGTTAGAGTTCAAGGTGCCAAGAATATTTTCAACTTTGCGAATGGGCTGCCAGCAGAAAGTAAAAAGAACCTTACGATGACACATATAATTCCTCTCATAAAAGACCTTTCGAATGGTGAGTCCTCCCTTTTTACTTCAAGTTGACTGGTTTTAAGACCCGCACCAGCCCGTCAAAACTGCTCTTGCTTCAACCATGATGAAATTGGCAGCAATTATCGGCCCAGAGAACACAAACGAGCACCTGTTGCCCCTTTTCGTCGGCTTCCTCAAGGACGAATGTGCCGACGTTCGCCTCAACGTCATCAACACCATCAGCACTGTGCACGATGTCATTGGATTCGAATCATTCCAGAACACACTCCTGCCCGCCGTGCTCAAGCTCGCCGAAGATACCAAGTGGCGCGTCAGATTGGCAATCTTGGAACACATGCCTTTGTCTCGGATTTTCAAAACTTCACTAGTTAGTAATTACTAATTAGCATTTGCTCACTTGTGCCCACCCTAAACGTTTTGAAACCAAAGTGTAAAATTTACGCCGTAAATATGACTCTCTTGATAAATCCAGCTAAAGATCGCTAAACAAATAAGCAGAGATAGTTTCAAAGACGAGAAGCTCTTCGACTTAATGATGACCTGTTTGGCAGATCATGTTTTCTCGATCCGCGAGGCTGCCTGCACACAGATCCAGAAGATCGTCGACATCTACGGCTTTGAGTGGGCCCGCGACGTCGTCCTTCCGAAAGTATTCGAGCTCGCCGCGGAGCAGAATTACTTGCGAAGAATGACCGTCCTTTTCCAGATTAATTTCCTCATGAGCGCCTCGCTCAAAAATAAGTCTGACATGGTAAGCTACTATAAATGACTTCCGGAATCGCTGTAATGAACTTGTTTCAGGTAGAAATCGCTGACAGATGTGTTTCCACTGTTTGCAACATGCACAAGGATGAAGTCGCAAATGTCAAATTCAATGTAGCGAAGACGCTCGGATCGATGTCCACTTTGGTACGTTCCTAGCACTAGAATGCGACTAAACGTTATCTCTTCAGATCTCAAAGAAAAACCACGCCACAGTAAAAAGCGCCCTGGACAGCCTCTCAAAAGACAGCGACATCGACGTCAGTTTCTTCGCAAACGAAGCGCTCGAGAAGATGGCGAAACTCTAATTTATTCAACGAAAAACATCGTAATCCAAGCCCAAATTCAAGATAGACAAAAAGAAGAAAAAATAAACTGCAATTACAATTATAATTCTTTGTAAAATTATGATCACCATCATTACAACTATTTTTTACAATCCCCAATACTCCTATTCCTATTCTCCCGTTTCTTGACGCTTCTACCTACGAACATATTACATTTTATTTAAATATCCATGAAATCGACCTTCCTCCTTTTCATGCGCACCGGACAACTTCACAATAAACCTCTTCAAGCAAGATCTTTTTCCAAGTTTCAAAATCTATAACCGCTTATGGCATCAAGTTCTCTCCCTCTTTTGCAGGATAAAATCGAAGCAGTGAAAAAATTTTATTATGCAGGTCTATAATAAAGCAGGCTAAGTACCTAAGAATAAGAGTTATTTACCACTGAGAAGATCTTTATCAGCCGATTCCGGCAGCCCGTGTATGAAAACGGACACAGGCTACCTGAGTCAGGGTCGTAGAAGAGCTTTAGTAAGAAGAGTGGCGGCTTTTTTGTAATCGAAGCCGCTCGTCGGCTATTTTTTAATGCCGCTATGTGTCTATTTACTAAATCTTTTCCAGGACCCTGACTCAGGTTTTCTACGCATTTTGCCGATCCCAGTTCATGAGCATCGTTGCATTTTGTCGCAGGTTTTTTGTGAAGAAGTTTAAAACTTGTCTGAAGTGAAATTTTGAGAAACTCTTCCTTGTTTTCCGTTCGAATACCTCAATCAATCTTGGAGCATCATCATCCCTACTTTTTAAAACTATTGCTTGTTACTCTCTCTTTTGGCACAATCCGAAAACCGTCACCTTCTCGAGCACCAATTTGAAATTCGAAAGTCTCTCGTCCAGTCTGTCTTACAGTTACTAACACATACTTCAGGCACATATTACAGTATTTTACTAGGCACCGGATTACATGTTTTAACGATATCTCTTCAAATAGATTACCAAGTTCAACACACATCCTTTTATGCTTTCGTTGAGAATTCATATTTTTTATTCCTCCCCAATTTTCCCTCGACTTTTATTTTATGTTTTCCGTCTGTTTCTTTTTAAGAAAGTGCACATACTATAGAACATTTTGAAAAATATAATTTTAATATTATGTTACTGACTTTACTACGACATTGACAAAAACACGCGTTTTTTTAGCTGTACACAGTTTCTAATTCAATTAGATTTACTAAATTCAAGTTCCCGCGAGTTTTAGCAACTCACAAGTCTTTTTCAAATTCGAGAAATTGTTATTTCGCGCAGTTGCTACACTAGTTTATTTCTAGGCTACATAGACATATGTCAATAAATATGACTCCTGTTAGTTCAAAAATACGCTTCAAATCCCCCCATTTTTTCACTGCAAATTTTCATAAATTGATTGTCGCACAAGTTACAACCATAAATACACATTTTTTCACTGAAATTATTTCTTGCTTTCCAACTTGGCATCTTTTACTGTAGATTGGTCAAATTAATTGTTTCCCGTGTCAGAGATTTCAGCCCCCTTCCTGGGATGATTCTTTCTGATCGTTGTATTTTCGCCTAAAATTTTCCCTTTTTTCTCAATTTGCTGTCTACAATCATGCCAATTTTAGATCTTTTTCTTTCGAAGAGAAGATTTACCTTGTTTTGTCTTTAAACATGTTCATGTCGTACAATTTCCAAACCGTTCAATCTTAATTTAGAATGAGCCTAAACGAGCTAGAGCAATTCTCGTAAATGGACCGGCAAAGGGGCTTCTGTGAAAATGTTCAAAGCATTCAGACATATTGAAGATATTGAGCCTTCCGATCCCTGGTGGAAAAAGGAAGTCCTCGATAAAGTTGGGGACAAGCTCAAGGGAGGATATTTCGATGAAAAGAATAAGGAAAATAATAATCTCTGTAAGTACAAGCTTATTCTCTTTAGCCCAATAAAATGGTGTTCTTTAGCTTTTGGGAAAGTAAAACGACTCTCTCGTCGAGCGGTAGAATTTTGCTCGAAATCCCGTAGCGCCAAAAAAGACTATGGCTTCATCGTCATCGAGCGCCTCGACTTGGAAGGACTCGAAGACGCTGTCGATCGAGGATTGACTGCTTCGAATTACCACGAGGGAATCAAACAGCACATCGAGTTCAAAGGAGATGTTCGATGCAAGCCGGACCGTGGGACGTTTCTTTGCAAAATTCCAAAACTAGAAACGATCTTCGCCTTTTGCCCAACTCGTAAGCGCAATCCAACGCTTGACGGATTCCTGGTCATCGTAGAATATGTCAAACGCGAGCAGCAGCATATTCAAGGAACATCGTACACATGGATCCATACAGAAAGAGATTTCTCCAACCAATGGTGTTATCCGCTCGCCGTCATTTCTTACCGAGATCAGAAAGCGCCTCCACCTCCTGCTCCAAAGAAACGATATTCGAGGGAACAAGAAAGCGCTGTCGTCAAATCAGAACGACGCTCAAGGAGTAGAAGTCCTAGTGACAGAAGAGGAGACAGAAGTCGTGAGCGAGATCGCGATCATCGCGATCATAGGGACCGAGATAGAGACAGATACCACCGCGACAAAAGAGACAGAAGTCGAGAAAGAGAACATCGAGGAGGGTCTCACAGGGATCGCGATGATGGGTACAGAATAAAAAAAGAGCGACGAGATGATGATTACCGCGAATCTCGGCGAGACGAAGATTACAGGAGACGAGATAGTCACCACCGAGACAGAAAAGAAAAGTACGATCAGGATGATCGCAGAGGTTCAGTTTCTTCGAATGACAAGCGCTGGCCTGGGGAGAATAGCTTCGATGGGCCGCCAAACTATGAGAGAAGGGGGTCTTCGTACAGTCAAGACATGAATTCTTCCTACAACAACCAGAATCCCAGCGACGGTCACGGTCAAAATGGCTTCGACGGGCATCAAAATCGAGTACCACCGAGTAACGGTCATTATCACGGAAATAATTACCCGGGCGGGCCGTCGGGTGGATACCGACCGAATCATAGGATGCCGATGCGACCAGGCTATCATCCGCACCAAGGGTCGTATGGACATCCGCATTATAACAACATGCGCATGCCGCATGGAAACGGTCAAATGCAAAATCCTCGAGGACCTCGTCCTGGAATGGATCGAAGCATGTCCACTCCGAATTCGCATGTGATGTCTCCCGACGGATTACCGACGCCGGACAACTTTCCAAGAGGACCTCATCAGCGCGGTCCGCCGAACGACGGTTTCACGCCGAATAGAGGTCGATTTCCATCAACTGGCGGCTTTCCTAACTCACCTGGTTTCCAAGGCTCACCTCATAGTAGCGCAGCGCATATCTCCCCGCCAGGTCCACCCGGACGACCGGAATTGGCGAGACGCCATTCGGAACAATTCAACAAAGTGCCAAACGCGAATCAAAATCTTCTGACAGTCCCACTTGCTTCCCCCAATCCTGCACAAATGGCTGACGGAAGAAAGGATCATTTCTGCAGAGAATATGTTAAAACCCGCCTCGAACGCGTCAGCGCGAAAAGAGTAGGAAAAGCCATTTATAAAGTATAAATAACGTTTCTTTCCAAAGAAAGCGATAACGTACTGGAGCGGAAAACTCGCATTCGGGGAGGATGAAATTGATGCTTCGTTGATGCACTACACGGATCCCGACATGCTCCTCATCAGCGAGTGTTACTTGCGTTTTTCGAAGCTAAAGCCACTTCTTTTCAACGATTTGAGTTCGGAAATCATTAAACTTAATGTCACAATTACAAAGGATCGGATAAAATACCGTATATGTAGAATTTATTGATTAATTTTTGTGAAATGAATTTTGAACAAGATTTAATCCCAAAAACAGCCGAAGAAATCAATGCACAAGAGTTTTGCAGGGATGTGGTCGTGTTACCCGGCGTATATTCAGAGTAAGTTCATTCTCATGGTTCGACTTTGTAGATTCGTTGGTGTTTTTTCTCGGCCTTGAAAACATCGTTTGCTTTCTCAGCGTTGATAGTTTCTTCGACCAGTTGCTCGATTTTCTTTGGCTTGTTCTGGCCGCCCTAGTTTGAGCTTAGTTTGACAACGATAGTATTCTGTAAATTACCTTTCTTGCAGCTTGCTCTCGGAGATTTTTCTCGATAATGAGGTTCTCCCGAAGTCGGGACTCCAAAGTTCGTTGGGATGATCGGACGATTCGGCCGAGACTTGAAAAGAATTTCATTTTTGAGTTGAGGTTTTTGAAGCTCCACTCGTGGGAAATTCATTTGATTGAAAATAGCTATTCTAGAGAAAACCTTCCATACTGCCCTCCTTATGGAGCCGGAGAGCTACAAAAATAATTAACATAAGTTCACTCCTGTACATGTTAACCTAGAACATTTTTTGTCAATGATGTAAAAATGTGAAAGGAGAATACATGATTTGGAGCAAGGTAAACACCTTTACCACTGACCTAGTAAAGAAGTAAAAAATCCAATGGCGGGACAATTTTCTTGAGTTATGGTTTTTCAACCCCTGTCTGACAAAGTTTTATAGATTCCCCTGAGAACCAAGAAAACATCAACAAAGTCTTCGATCGCGATACACGAGCTTGTCTTTCTGAAGTCACGACTTCAAAAATGATTGTCTTTTTGGTGAAATCGGATCAAGGCCGTCTGAGGGACTTGCTGAACTGGGACGCAGTGAGTAACATGATGCCAGACGATTCGATCCCCGGTTTTTTCTTCATTATCTTCACGCCGCTTAGCAACATCAAAGAATTCACACAAGTTCAAAGAGCCAATCGAGAAATTGACCTTGTCCATCCACACCCTCTTGACCACGATGGGCCGGGGGTGAATCCACTTGATCCGTCTTACGAAGCCGTTCAACATATGATGGGCAATCTGAGCATGAATATACAACACGAAGACAAGTACTTTCACAAAGATTATCGGGCGAATTGGAATATTAATCACGACATCATTTTGCAACTCCAAAAAATGACCCACAGTCAAAAAGGGCATCATCAAACTGTTCAACAAATCGCCACTAGAATTAGCCATACTAGATACAGTCAAATTCCACAGGTACGAAAAAATGAAAAACAAAATGCCTATGATTTTTTAGCTTTTGAAAAAATTCATCGACGTCATCTCGGAATATGAAATCTTCGTAAAAATGGACGAAATACTCGCCGAAGCGATTCGAGAAGAGAAGCAAAAGCGGCAAGCTGCAAGTGACGCCGCTGCGAACCCTCCAGCCGCGCCGTCTACAACCGTGCCTAATCAAAACTCAACTAACTTATCCTCCTCGAATCAGCCGCCGAAGCAACCAGCTCCGGATAAGCCGCGACCACAGCTTAACCTTCAACCTCTCACACTTCCACAAGTTCATGCAACTCAAATCCCTGAAATTTTAGTTCCGCAGACGCCACCTTCAACTAGAGTAGTTTCGCAACAGCCGCAAGAAAAAGCACCAGTCCCTTATGTTCCAAGTCCAAAAGTAAGTGGAAACCCGGCACGCAACCTGTGAAAAAACCTGAGTCAGGACTGTCAAAGCGCTTTGATAAAGCGGCTTCGCCAGAAGTCGTGCAATGGATGGAGAATCTCAATTTGAGATGATAAATGTTCGGGACCCTGACTCAGGTTTCTACACAAGTTGGCGATCCCTGGGCAAAACCAATTCTCTTCCTTGATTTCAACTACCCAATTTAGGTCCGCAAATTAGATCGCGCAGATCCAAATGTACAAGAAAAGTTAAGAATAGAACAACTCAACAAAGAAGCGCAATTAATGATGTTACTTCAAGCCGCTGCGGCGAAAGATAATGGCGCAAAACTGCTAAAAGGCCTCTCGTTCGCCGAAGCGATCCTGCTTATCGATAAGAATAACGTAAAAATTCATCCGCCTGCGGATCCCACCTTCGAGGAGCATTACGAGAATTGCCTGATGAATATTCTTAGAAGCGAAGGTACATACTGAATTACAGGCGCAAACAGAAGCATCACTGAATTATTTAGACCTCTATCTGTCGAAAGATTTCCTCGAAGGCAAAGAACTCCGTCGAACGCGCGACAAAGACTACAACCCAACCGTAGAATTTTCAATTCCCAGATCTGTTCTCAACGAGAAAACGCCAAACGTCGATCCGCACAAGCACAACGAGCTCAAAACGCTGCTTTTGAACGCGCTCCCGAGAATGAAAGACGCACCAGAGGAGCGGCAGCAGTCACAAGTTAGGATTGACGAACGGAGGCCGAACTTTACGAGAACGGTTAATATCGACGATCCAAATCGATTCTCGCACGTGAAAAAGTTGAATTTGGCGAATATGGCCGTGATTAGAGCGACGAAGAATAATATCAAACGACTTCGTCTTGGTAAGAACTTGTTTCTTTAGAGCGTGTTTTGAGTCTTCTATGTCTTCAGGTCAGCAGCAGATCGTGGAATTGATGGAGGAAGAAGATGACTCGGACGAGGACGATCGAAAGGGAGGCATGAAAACGGAGGACATCAACAAGTGGCTGACGGATATTGAGGACTGCTGGAGCGAAATCGATAGAATCACTGATTACCCAAGGTTTTCCTCTTCTTTATCTTCATTTTCATCCGTTTTTAGGTTCTCCGAGGGGCCGAAGAAAGGAGAAATTCTCGAAAACTACCTTCTCGAAGTTAATAAACTTGCACTCGAAGAATACAACACGATCATGAGTATGCCTCCGCCCAAAATACCTGGAGAAGAAGGTGAAGACAAAACGTCCTAAAGTCCTTTCCTTTCCGAACTTACTACTGCCGATCGCCCTGCCACGCCATCACCCATGTGTCCAATTTTATCAAAGCAACAAGAATCTTAGTAAAATTTAAAATAATTAGTCAATTACTATCTCCTATCACTTTCAATTACAGTAATTTATCCCTGACTATTCTTTCTGAAAGCAACAACTAAATTATTGACCTTTCTCAAGTAATTTTTATATTTCCTTCGCAATTATTTTAAAGCTCAAAATAGACGATTCGAAATTGCTCTATCTTTCCTTAAAACCCTGAACTAACTCCTGTGCAACTCCTTGTTGAAGCAAAAGAAAAGAAAGAATGGAGCAACACCTATCCTTGACTGTAACAGTTGTAAATAGAATTTAGCAAATTAAACATTATTACACCAAAAAGTCTCATCTCTTCGAATAATAACATGATAGAATTCAAGGAAACACCGAAAAAATTAATAAAAATCGCAAATTTCTTGTTAAAAAGAGCTCAAGAAAAGGCTGGAATTTTCTCGAACCAATTTTTTCGAAAAAATGGTATTCATAATGTACCCATTCGTGCTGGCCAGCAGAGCCCGGTTAGCTCAGTCGGTAGAGCGTTGGACTTTTAATCCAACGGTCGTGGGTTCGAGTCCCACATCGGGCGCGACTTTTTGCTCTTTCTCAAACTCTGCCTGGAGGCTCTCGAACATTCCTGTATTGCGCAACCAACTGAAAGAACTGAAACTTTCGGTTTCACACTCAAATGACCCGTCATTTTTCTATCATCAGACGCCTTTTCAAAATTACAGAGAAAATGGGTTGGAAAAAGCTCTAGATATTTTTGTTTTTACGTCTTGTCTTGCCACTTTTGTCGAATGAGAGAAAAAAAGGGAAAACATTCATTTTTTTCAGAGAAGCAAGAAATCGTGAATTAGAATTTAAAAATGGACAAGGACTTGGCGATAGCGCAGTTTCAGTCCTTCACCGCCACCGATGATATTGTGAAAGCATTGGCGATTCTTGAGAAGCACAACTGGAATCTCGAAGCGTATGCTTTTATTCTTTTTTCAAAGTTTTTCATGTCGATTTTAGCGCGATTTCTGAACACTTCAACCCGCCAGAAGTCGAAGAAGTTCGCCCATCGCGGCCTCCAAGAGTCAGTCGCGAGATCAAATTCATCATCCACCTCTCTAACGGGCAAGACAAAGAAGTGCAAGTGGACGAAGAAGTCCATGTTGGAACGGTGCTAGAAATCGCAAAAAGCACTTGCAACTTACGCCCAGACGATCCTGTGAAGTTCACTGGCTGGCCGAGTGGAGGACAGCCGGATAATGATCTTCCTCTAAGGTAAAAATACGGAAAACGAATTGGTTTTTCATTATTTCAGTATTCTGAACCTGCCATCAGTTGTCAACCTTATCCACATCGACCCCTCTCCTGCCCCTCTACCAGCCACCAACCGACTTCGAGAAGAACGCAAAGACCGCCATTTCACGCTCAAAATCGCCGATATCGACCAGCAAGAAGACCACCAGCTCAAGTACCCCGGGCGTAAGAAAATCGCCTCAATCAAAGAAGACGTCTACTCATTAACGCTCATCCCTCCGAATAGACAAAAATGGAGAGGTTGGCCGAGATCGTCCTCTGATTCAGTAAGTACAGTTCTTTTTCTAGAACGGAGGATATTTTGCAGGATTTTTGGGGTTGAAAAGTTAGTTGAAATCAAGGAAGATTACAAAAAGTAACCATGGCTGGAAAGCGCACTAAATCTGCTGCATCCAATGCCAGAAGGCGGGGCTCGGCAACCTGTGTAGAAACCTGAGTCAGGGTCTGGAAACGGCAAACCAGAACTATAATCTCAATCTTTTTTCATCACTTTAGGGTTAGGGTTGAAAAGCCACTGAGCGCCTTTTTAATCACTATCCTTCAGGCTCCTGACTCAGGTTTCTACACAGGTTGTCGAACCCAGCGAAAAGCTCCAAGGCTGCCAAAGGCGCCACTACTAAAGGAGGATCTGCTCGTCAGCGAGCTATGATAAAAGAAAAGGGTTGAAATGTCCTCTAGAATTCACTTTTCTTATCATTTTTTTTCGTAGAAAAGGAGGAAAAGCGACGAGTTAGAACAGTCAGCGAGCGAGAACAAGCCAAAGCGAAAAGCTTGGCTGAAAAGCGCCGAAAAGCTGAAGCGTATAAAAAGCGTTATGCGGCGGAAATGGCGCGCCGCAAGAAAGCTGGCATCAAAGGCAATTTGAGTGAGTAACGTAATTTTGTAGAATGCTCTGTGGGAACTCGAGTTGGAGGGCTACGAGCTCATCCTCGAAGTTTCCGACACGCGCCCTGCTATTCCTGCTTACACGCCTTCAAACAGACCTTCCACAAACCGCGCAACGACGAGCAGTCGTCAAGAAGCACCAGTGACGATACACGACTCCGACTCGGAGGACACTGATGATGATGACGATGATGATGGCGATGACTACGACGACTACGGAGACGCGTTTGAAGAACCAGAACCAAGCTCTTTTGGAAGGAGGAATCAGGAGTGTCTAAGTACGAGATCTCACAGAGCATTCAATTTAAAACTGACTGAAGGGTTCATTTTTTCATTGAAATCTTTAGTTCAATCGAATACGGACGACTGGATCGTCGCAACGACAGAGCTTCAGGTGGAATTCAGAAGACGTTTCGGCAACAAAGGCCCTCAATTCTTCATCGGAAGATGCGGTTTGCTAAAATCTAGAATTATCATTTATCTGACACTATTATAGAAGACGCAGCGGCAGAAGCGTACGGCAGCCGAGTCAAAGTGGCGGATAGACGTCTCTTAGGTTCGTCCATTTTTTATTAGCACGTTTTGATTAATTTCGTAGCAATCTACATCCACAACGAAAAGAGTATATCAGCCAACATCTTCTGCTCGCAAATCCTTTGCTCCCAACAAATCAGCGATTTCATCAACGCGAACTGTGTCGCATGGGCTTATGATATGACCAACTACCTCAACAGAGATCGTCTTTTAAATACAGTGAGTCAAAAACAGTGAGTTTCTCAAGGTTCCTATCGTTTTTCTAGCTCGACCGAATGTTCCAAAGCGGTAATATTACTTCGCAAATTCGCCGAATGTCGCCTGACCAGTTCCCCTTATTTATAATTGGCACTGGCCGAAGTGCATATCACGAGGTCATTAGCACTGAGAAAAGTAAGAAAAAGGGGGTGATGATTAGCCTTCTATCTATCCATAATTTAAGGTAATGCAACGCCCGCATCTATGCTCGACTCTCTAATGAACTCGTTGACAATCAACGAGACGCGAAAAGAAGACGATATCAAGGCAGAAAATGAACGGCTCCAGCGTGAAAACGAAGTCAAGGAGCAAGAATCAGCTTATGAACAGACCTTGCGAGCCGATAGGTATTCCCATGCATATTTTATCACGCGTCAATGCTGTTAATAATTACAGAGAAAAAATGGAAAAGCTGGAGGCTGAAAAACTTGCCGCCGAACTCGAGAGACAGAGGATCGAAAAAGAAGAGCGGGAAAATCTTCGGAAACAACAACAAGCTGAGGACAATCTTCCGCCAGAGCCTGCTGCTGGTACAGCAGGGGTAAGACGCTAAAATATTAATCGGGGATTTAATCTTATGATCATCAGAGTTGCCAGCTTCGATTCCGGCTTCCCGATGGACGAGTCTTGTCCAGAAGATTCATGGAAAGTGATCGACTTGCTGTGCTATTCCTCTTTATTGGTGCTGAGGGCTTCCATGAGGTACTCAAACTCGATCAACCGAGAGTTGAATTAATCGTCAAATTTAGTCCGATCACCGACTTATTCGACAAATACCCAGAGCTGATATCTCAGCGCTGAAAAGAACAAAGACGCTCAAGGAAGTCGGACTCAAGCAAGACAACCTCGTCGTCGAAGCCAACGTCGAGAGCGAAGAAGATGAATCGGACGATTCTGAAATGGAAGAATGAATATTCAAAATAATTTATGAGCTTCTGTTATTTCAAAAGTCAAACTGTTCGTATCGGCTTCTATGCAAGTCGACCCTTTCTCGCCATTCTTCATCTCTTCCACTTTTACATAGCTTTCACTTACTGATAAGATAATATGATGACAGATACTTCAATTCAAAGAACAACCATGTGTATTTCTAACTATTGGTCAAGATAACAACAAAAAAAAAGAAAGAAATTAACAAAATGAAGAATCGAACGCTGCTGATACTGATAGTCAAGATCACTGTATACAGAGACTCCTTCTTGCTGTACTACAGAGCTCGTACATGTATTAATATCGGTGCTCCGTTCCGCCCTTTATCAAACGACTATTTGAAAGAAACAACGGTTTTATATCTTACTTTAAGATTGCGAATGGATTCTCGACGGTGTCTTGTAGCTCGAAGGCTATGAAATAGTAAATAAATAACGCTTGAATTTTCAGTCATTCAAGTTACAGTCGCTTTTACCGCAATTTACAGCTCACTTATTTATTCACCGTTTTTATTTATTGCTGTCTTTTTTTCAATTTGACTGACTCGCTGTCTTTAGTCGTCTTTCACGCGAAGCTCCTTTCCAAGCTCTTCCCCTTCGAATCCTCGGCCAGTTGAGCTAGACGCCAATTCGGTATATCTTTACTCTTTACAGAACAACATGCGGAAAAAGATAAATTCGATTAGTAGAACTTTAATTATTACAGTTTCAAATGAACTTTATTCAGCCTGAAATGGTTTCTAATGGAGAAAAGGTTAATACCTTTATCAAGCTATATTTTACTCCTATATTTGCTATTTTTCTCTTCCTTAATTGAAGAATTCTTTAGAAACCTGAGGTAGAAGAAGAGGAAGATGGCGAGATTGTCGACGACGTGATGATCGTGGACGATTCCGACAACGACCGGCGCCGCTCCAAGGACTCGGACTGCGTGGCCATCGAACCGACTACTGGTAGTAAATCATCGAAATCGGCGAAGAAGTCGCGCTCGCGATCACGTGAGCGGAGCAAACCGAAGAAGAAAAAAGACCGAAAACGCTCACGAGACAGGAGCAAGTCGTCAAAGAAGAGGAATCACAGTGAAGAGCGCAGGGAGCGCGAGAGAGAAGAGGAAGAACGGAGGATCAAGCGAAAACGAGAGCGGGAAAGAGAACTTGAAAAGGTTAGTTAGTTACGTCTTTTCAGTTTTTCTCATCAAGCTTTAGGAAAGGGAGCGAGAACGTGAGCGTGAGCGGAAACGACGGCAACGCGCAGAAGCGGAGCGTCGACGACGAATGACTCCTTCTCCAACTTTCCGCGATCGTCATCGTGATCGTCGCGAGCGAGAACGACGCGATCGAGACCGTCGCATTTCCCGGGAAGAACGAAAAGATCGAAGAAAATCTGACGTTTTCAAGGGCTCTCTTTCTGAAGGCCAGACGCTTCAGGAGCTTGAAGGTGGAAAGTTGGCTGATGTCTCGATGAAGGACATTGAGATCCCGATGGATTCGGATGACGAAGAAGCCAAGATCGAGGAGCTGAGAAAGCGACGCGAAATGCGAAAGAAGATGATGGAAAAAGTGGTCGAGCAAGAAGACTCTCCCGCTAGTAGCCCTGCTTCTAGAGTTGCATCTCCTCTTGAAAAGGTATGTTTGTGTTCAAAGATTCATTTCACAGTTGATCGAAAAAAGATATGATTTTTAAACAGGGTAGTTGTCTTTTTCGGCAAGTTTTCGGCTTATTGCTTCAGCATCTTCTTTGCTAAACGAAGAGTTTTCTCGTAAAAAAGTCCATTTCGAAAACGTACCAGTAAACGACAGCATTTCGCCGCTGTGGTGGCGGCGCGGGTTTCTCATCTGAATTTTCTTGTTTCCGAGCAAATAGTTTGTTTCGAAGTTCAGCGGCTTTTATTTGGCTTTCAGAATTTCATGTAGTAGATAATCATTTGATAGGGGTCCATGAAAACATTCCTTGTTCTGGTGTCAGGCGGATGCTTTCTCTACCCGCTGGGCGGTCGCTCATTTCTATGCAGTTTTCTAATTATGAGAACGAGTTTTACTGTTTTATCGATTGATGAAAAAAGATCGATTCTAGAAATAATTCTTCAGATCAAAGAGCGACTCTCATCGAAGGACTCTGGGTCAGTGAAATCACGTCCTGCGTCCGTCTGTAGCGATAAAAGCGCCGAAGATGACTTTGACGATATTCTTGCCGCCGCCTTGCGTGACGATTTGGAATGTCTTGAAGACGCTGATCTGGAAGCTGCATTGAAAGAAAAGCTTCTTGAAAACCGTGAGACTACTGTGGACGCACGGCCGATCAACGATGACTTCTGGGAGACGGAAGGAGACATGTTCGCCGACGACTTCAGTCCCGGAATCAAGAACAACAGACATCGGAAGCTCCTCAATTCCGCGACTGTACTCGACCCTGATGCTTGGACCGATGCTGATGGCTACTTCAAGATCTCTATTGGACAAGTGCTGGATGATAGGTACAAGCTAGGTTCAACAAAATCGCCCGAAACCAAGATCGGGTTTTATCGGGTTTTTTAGGAGATCGGGTTTTGTTGGATCGGGTTTTGTTGGATTTTATCGGGTTTTTGTCGGGTCCGAAATCGGGTTTTTTGTCGGATTTTTGTCGGGTTTCCAACGAGCAAAAATTTAAAAAATCAAGTCAAAAGAAGGTCAAAAACTTGTCTTGGTCGGTTTTTCTTTGGTCAACGACAATTTTCGAGTATCATTTCTAATAATATTTAGATTTTTGTACATTTTTCCATTGTACATCTCCTTATACAATAAAAACGCCTGGTCTAATACGGTCAAATATGCCATGGGCTTGAAAATAGTGGGAGTCAACCTAAAAGACTGTTCTACTAAAGCCTTCAAGCTCAGGCGGTCTCTGAAATTCTGTCCTCGAAATGGATCGCCGATTGCCAGGGACATCGCCGAATTTCATTCTCTTGCCAGAAGATTATCTTTGGTAAGATTGATGTGAATGTCCTCTAGAGCTCGTTCTCTACCTTTTACCGGTTTCGGAGGCAGTTCTCATCTATTTCGAGTGCATTTTGAGTAAAAAAGGGCAAGGGAGGCTTTTCAGACCGACTGTGATTGGCTGAAAAGGCAAGAAAAACCCGAAGAAATTCCGACAAAAACCCGATCCTACGTCGGGTTTTGAAATTTTCAGGATCGGGTTTTGTAGGGTGAAAAAAAAAACCCGACAAAACCCGATAAATATCCGATCCGATATCGGGTTTTCCGGGCATCGGATTTCGATTTGTTGAACCTAGGGTACAAGAGCTATGCCTACACTGGCAAGGGTGTCTTCTCTAACGTCTTGAGATGCAAGGACACGCTGAGAAGTGACGAGGACGTTGCCATCAAGATCATCAGGAAAAATGAACTCATGTACAAAGCTGGTAACATAACAGCTTATTTCAGAGACATTCGTTAACATTTTTCAAGGCATGAAGGAAATCGAGTTCTTGAAGAAAATCAACGATACTGATCCCGAAGACCGCTTCCATTGTCTCCGTCTTCACCGATCATTCCTATTCAAGGGCCATCTCTGTCTCGTCTTTGAGCCACTGGCAATGAATCTCCGCGATGTCGTCAAGAAGTACGGCTCTGGAGTTGGTCTTCATGTCAAAGCTGTGCGTAGCTACTCCCAGCAGCTTCTTCTTGCCCTCAAATTGCTCAAAAAGTGCAATATCCTGCACGCCGATATCAAGCCAGACAATATCCTGGTCAACGAATCGAAGAGCGTGCTAAAACTTTGCGATTTCGGCTCTGCTTCTGACGTGAAGGACGCTGAGATTACCCCCTACTTAGTTTCTAGGTTTTATCGTGCTCCTGAAATTATTCTCGGATGCACTTACGATTATGGAATTGATCTTTGGTCCGTTGCAGTGTCTATGTATGAGGTTAGATCATCCGGAATACTTTCCTTTTTTTATTCGTTTTTTAGCTCGCAACTGGAAAAATCATGCTTCCTGGAAGAACAAACAACCATATGCTCAAACTCTGCCAGGATTTCAAGGTATGATTTTCTAAGATCTTCGAAGAGACTTCATTACTAGGGGAAATTCCCGAACCGAATGATCCGCCGAGCTATGCCCGAGATTCGCCAAATGCACTTCGACGGAAACAACGATTTTCTTCATGTCAAGCAAGACAAACTCACTGGCCAGGATACAATTCAAACGATTACCAACGTTGTCCAAACTAAATTTATAAGAAACGATGTAAGCTCTTGACTCATTTTGTAGACTTTCGATCAACTTTTTTCTAGCTTAATCCTACATCAAACTCAAACGAAAAGGTGACTCCCGAACTTGTAAGGAAGATGCAGCAACTCTCGGATCTTATCGAAAAATGCACTGTCCTTGACCCCTCCCGCCGCGCCTCGATAAACGAGTGCCTTTCACATCCATTCATTGTTGAGAAAATCTCTTAACCATTAACCGCAATACACGAAAAACCCAATCGACGAAATCCCAAATTCTCTTTATGCATGTTTGTTTCATTCATCAAAAAGCAGTTTTTACTTGAGGCTTGTTCTTTTCTTCCTCTGCTTTGGCAGCCATCATTTGTGCAGCGAATTCTTGGAATTGTCCATGAACGCCAGCAAATTGTGGCAAAGCAGCAACTCGTCCAAACCAGGCTTTGACATTTTCGAAATCATCGAGGAAGTTAGGATTGACAAGGCAGGGCATAGTCAGCCCACAAGCAATGCTGATATCAGCGATTGTAATGTCCGTTCCGGTCAGGAAGTTGCCAGAGGGAATTGATCCGTCCAAAAATCGAATTTGTTCCGCAAGCTTGGCTTCTTTCGCTGCAAGATCATCGGGAATAGGGGCAAAGCCCATCTTTATGATTGAATAAGTCGAAATATGTCTGTAAAATGAGACGAACCTTTGGATAAACAGCAGCTGCAATGGCGGCGTACATTGATCCCATGTCCCAGTTTAGCCAAAAGTCGACCTTTGCCCTTGCCTTGGCTTCGGAAGGATAGAGTGACGATTCAGGTGCATACTGGTTGGCAATGTACTGTTGAATTGCCCGTGACTCCCAGAGCGACAAATCGTCATCGACGATTGTTGGGATGCAGTGTCGGGGATTGATAGCAAGGAACTCTTTGTTCATGTGCTCGCCCTTCATCAAGTTGAGGCTTACGAACTCATACTCCACCCCTGCGAACTTGCAAGCTAAAAACGACTCGTTCTCATAAAATCGGTTCTGTATCTCTTACTAATCTCAACAGCTCTTGATGGCGGGGATGCTACAAAACCGTAGATCTTCATTCTCTTTTTCCTCAAGAACGTTTTGGCAGATTGAGTTGAAGTATAAACATGGCGCTACTTATATAGACCTGCCGGTGGACGAGTAAACATTCACTATCCAAAGAATATTAAGTTTTACTTTGTACTACGCTTGGTATTTGATTTTTCCCACATTAGAAATGAATTTTAGGATCGAACCCGAACTCGAAATCGGCATCTTTACGAAATTTTGGGATTTTGAAAACCGATCAATTTCTGCAGAAGGAATTTATTTCCTGCTTCCCGAACATTCTTCACGTCGAGAATCAAGCAAACAAAGAGTCTTTGAATATTTGATTTATTGAAACAATTTCTATGCATAAGAGAGAGGATGAATTGAAGCTTGTTTAGTTTTTGGTAAATTAGCCACGCTTGCTCGCCTTAAATTTCATTAGAGAAATGAATTAATTATCAAGATACTTACCATACATTCGCTGTATGTGTATCCTTTGGGTGCCCCACTTTTGAACATTTCCATGCATTTCTGCGCGATTATTCGTTGTCGATTCAGAGCGCGCCTTCTCAGGACATTTTCTGAAAGAAGTTCTTCGTTGATTTTCAAGGAAAGGGCGGTTTACTCACGAAAAAAACTATTCGATTTCTTTTCATGCAAATTCACGCCTTGCACGTCAACTTGATAGCCACCAAATCTTCTGCCTTTAAGCGACTTCAAGTAGGCTATGCTTTCTTTTTGGGAAGGCGGTCTCAGCTAAAAGATCAGTTTAATTAACACTTATCTTCATTTTCCGACCATGGAGGCTTTTGCCAGTCTGTCAATCTCTCTCAGTTTCTCTGTCATGCTTTTTTCGACGATGATGTTTTTCATTTCCAGGTGAGAGAAGTCGTTCCGCTTGTGCAATCTTCGATTCTGATGGCCGTTTACTCTTCCTTGATTTCGCCGGCTCTGCGATTGGTAAGCATAATGCCGGGGATCCGAAATCGAGATTCAATATTGCTCGAAAAATAAATTTTTCAGACTTTTATGAGCAATCTCTCAAAATTTTGAATCTCTATCCACAAATTCCGCCATCACGAGTGCAAGAAGAAAAAGGGTTCTTTTCAAGATCTTCATCTTTTGCTCTGCTTATTTTCTTTCAATTTGTCTCCATGGAGGTTCTTAAAATCTGATCCGTCTGCGTCCTTTTCTTTTTTCTTTCTTTATCCCTGTTCTGAATAACTTGAATTATTGTTTTACGGCTTAGCGGCTAGAGCTTCTGCTGCTCTTCTGTGTCTCTCAAGTCGACGGCTTCGCAAGCTAAACAAATCCGGAACGCGCTACGCGAAGAGAAAAAACGCGGACCACACATGCTTTCACAAACAAATGAATAAATAACGCATAGTTGCGCACAAGACCTTGATCAATTACGGTGAACTAAAACCTTGCTCAGCTACTTTGCTCTCTGCTGAATATTCTATCGTCTCTTATTAGCGCTTCGCCAAGAATGATATTTTAATTCTGACTCTTTATTATTCAAAGAAAGAGTTTTTTCTTATGATAAATGAATGAAAGAAAAATCGAAAGAATCATTATCGCGTGGTTACCCAAGAAGTACCTCTATATTGGCGAGAATCTCTTTACCGACGAAAAAGTGTCATGTGATGACGTGCATATGGTTATTAGAAAATATCATATTGAATTTTAAATTGAGGATTCTACTGTGTCTATCTATAAGACAGAACTTTTAGCGTTAAAAAAGAAGGTACTGATTTAAAAGTAAGATTATTATTTCTTTCAAAGTTCGCCACAAACCTTGCAAAAATCTCTTGCCCAATGGAGTGTCTCTTGTCTGATAATGCCTGCCTGATTTTCCGACTAGAGCAAAGGCACTTGTTGGACCTGCGCCAGAGATTCTGTTTGCACCATCAGAAAGAGGGGCAATATATGCTTTTGGTGCTCTATTTGGCTAGTAAACGACAAAGAAATTGCCCCGTTTTAATGTCTTATATAAAACTCATAAGTCAGAGGAATTTTGGTTTTTTGAAATTCTGTATTGATCGAATAAAGTTCCGGTATCTTGAGACTGAAGACTTGAGTGGCATTAAATAGTCATGTACAAATCGAGTTTGTCCCATAAGGAACACGCTGCTTCTCTAGGGTCATCTTTTTGCATTCGGAAGTCTCTTGTTGCTTCATTGCCAACGTCAAGCCATTGGTGATCCATTGACCAAGGGTTCCAATTGACGTGGCCTTTTTCGGCACCTTCTATTGGGTTTCCAGTGTAGTCTGAATGTTAATAAAATTTGAAAGTCAAAGAGCTTACTGTTAGGGTCGCCTGTTCGAATAAAGTTGGCAATATACTGCTGATATCGAAATTGAAAGGGAAGGTCTTCGTTGAATCCTTGTTTTCGAAGAACATCGGTAAAGAACCAATGTTCGCCGACGCCATGACGAACGGCACAAGTAACGTCGCCAGGGTAATTGTCATAATCATATGCTGCATATGATATGCACGATCGGAGCCGTGGCTGATTTCGCACTCCCCTTTTGGATCGTCCCAGGGTAGCTTCTGGCTATCGAGGGCCAGGTAAATATTCTTAGATAACGGAGAATTACTAACTATTTTTTGAACTTTCAATCTGTCTTTGAAATATCTCATGAGAATCATAATTCAAAAAGTTTTCCTGGAACGCCATCAGCTAAGCATTTTCTCATGTTGCAGTACCAGGTAAAATCCGTCAAGAACTCATCCACTTTTTCCAAGCACTCTGACCCATCATCAGGACAGCTGTAGATGCCACTTTCGTCTATCTTCTGCTTATCTTCATCGGAAAATAGAAAGCTCTTCAGCCGATCCCAGCTTTGTTCACAGACGCTGTTGCTGTCACATGGCAAGCCGAGCATAACTGGCTCTACGAATTTCCATCCTTCATTGTCGGCAACATCGATGATGATCGCTTTGTCATGAATTTCGCCCCGTTGAAAGTGGAAAAATGGCATTTCTTTTAGCATCCCTGTTCCGATTATGGGCGAATAAGGTTCTGCTATCATCGTTAGTCTTTCAAAGTTGTTGATTGGAGCGGCTTGTCTCAGCTTCCACGCAGCTTCTTGAATTTCCGATGTGCTCTTTTTCTTCATGCATTGGACTGTGTCAGCTTCTATTGGGCGATTGCATCTGGGCTGCAGACTCGGAAGAAAAGGACCGTCGCAGCAATTTGTGAGACGAGCAATTCCTTCTGTGATAAGCTCCCCTTCCTCTGCATTGTAGTACGGAATTCCTTGTGGTCCAGAAAACGCGATGGCTTTATCGAACAGATCCTTGCTCGATTCCATGACTAGATGAGCGTGTAAACTTTGCGCTCCTGCGCTCATCCCTCCAAGTGTTATCTTTTCTTTTGCGCCGCCAAAATATTTGCAATTTTCACGAGTCCAGATCATCGCCATTTGTTGATCCATCAAACCTTGATTTCCGGAAACGGGAAGATCCTCGTCATACCGAAGGCCATGTTCTGGCGCGATTCTGTCTTGCAAACTGTTAGAAAACATGAAACCAAAGACGCCGAATCTGTAGTTTGCTGACATGACGATCATATTTTGCTCAGAAGCTGAATATGGTTAATGAAAAAGGCTACCAAAAACAGTTTTTACCGATGTAAGCACCGCGATCAGGACCAACAACAACATTCGTACCAGCAAGAAACGCGCCTCCATGAAAATACAAGAAGATATCCAGCTCAAGATTCTCCTCAATTGCTTTTCTCGGCACAAACAAATCAATGTACAAACAGTCCTCCGTGGTAGAATTCCCAAACTCAAAGGCGCTCGGACATGCGGGTGCTTTTTCTTCAGTTTGGTAAATATTTCTTCCGTCAAAAGTCTGCTCGGCTAATGAGCGGGGGTAACCGGCCAGATCAGTTTCTAAAACTGGTGCCATCCATCGTAGATCTCCAACAGGCCTTTTTGCATATGGAACGCTTCTGATGCAAATTATGTCCTTGTGGGTCTGATGAATAAAGCCCTAATTGATTGGTAAGAAATGCATTCACAAAAATTCTTACCCTTATTACTCCAAGCGGTCCGAAATCAACGTCGTACCAGTACTGTTCTTCATTATTTTCCTCTCCACTGTCGATTATCTCTTGAACCTTGCTCTCGAGTCCATCATCGTACGAGCCGTACAAGACGCCCATGGTAATACCCACTGATATTCCACATGCTATAAAAATAAGAATGAAATATTCAACGATTTTTCTCATGATTTTATTCAAAAAGAGTACTTTATTGCTTGTCGAGTCGTGAAGTCTTTATTTGAACAGTTTGAAAGCCTGTTAACATTTATTTATCAAGTTGGTAGTAGGTGTGGCAATTTATGAAAAAATTAGCTTAGTAAAGAGGCATTTAATTTCGCTTTTATTGAATATAATCGATAAATAATTCACTGTAAGACACAAGCTCCAAAAACAATCAGACGCAATAATCGGAGCTTGTCGCTAACAAAACAGGTCTATCGTTTTCAAAAGAGTGATAACCAATGATTTCTGCCTCGACCAACTCATCATTTTCTATTTTAATTCGGTGATGATACCATTTGTCACAGGAAAAAATTATCGAGGCCTGCCAATGAATTGAACAATTTCGTCAAAGTCACTCAACAGTGGAGAAAAAAGGCAGTCTCAATGCAAAAAGAACGACAGAACTCATTGCTGGCAAATATAAATAAAGAGCAACAAAGTTTATTCATCTGACAGAGTTGAAATAGATTGGGCTTTAGACCGTTTTTATAGAAATAATTTATTAGTTATAACTTCTTGAATTCGCATTTCCTCGATTTAACAGCTGCAGAGAAAGACTTAAAACAATAATTATACCAATATTAATAATAAAAAACTCACGTCTTTTCATTCGTTTCTTTCCTCGCCCAATCTTGCGTTTCCGATGTTCCAAAGACATGAAATATGACAGCTCCGCAAAAATTAATGGCTGCTGTTAGCCAAAATACGATAAACCAGCCGGTCAGTCCCGAAAACTTGCTCAATAGAAATCCTGTTACTGAAGCGCCGACAAAGCCTTTTTTT